CAAAACAAAAGTGATAATGTATTTTGGAATGCAATAAAACTCGTGTCATTGTCTAATCTGCTCTCAGCAGAGAGAACACTCAAGCCAATGGGACTGTATATTATATATTTGAGTTATTTTCCCATTATGTTTTCCATTAGTGCAGAGATGCATCTAGCTGGCGTGTGTTTGGGAAGTGATTTGTTTGGGAAGTCATCACCACTCTGAGGAATCAATAACCTTTTAGCCACTCAGATTAATGAGAGGCAAATGTGCCTTCTCTCGTCTCTTTTACCGGTGCGCACACAGTAGCAATTAAGGGAGACCCGCCAGAGGGGGGGAGGAGGTTTGACATGCATGATCCAGTGAAGACAAACAATGTAATTGCAATATTTGAAGTGGGCTGCATTAAGTCAGCTCAACAGCAGTGCAGTTTTCATAGTGTTCCCTCTCCTTTGCCCCCTTTGTCAGAATCACTTTGATCAGCACAACAGAGCCGACAGTGGGAAAACGCTGCGTTCAGTCAAATGATTTATTAAACCCCCCAGATTCTGTATATCTACGTAGTAATTAATTTTTCCATCAAACTGACCTGATCTGTCTCAACTCTGTCCTCCCGCAGCTGATTGGCTCAATCATTGGTCGTCAGGGCACTAAGATCAACGAGATCAGGCAGGTGTCAGGAGCTCAGATTAAAATCGGGAGCCAGCTGGACGGGACAAGCGATCGCCATGTCACTATCACAGGAACACCAGTGAGCATCAACCTGGCCCAGTACCTCATTACCTCCTGGTAAGGCCCAGTGACACACACAGCCATCTAATGAATCATTGCAAGCACAGGCCTGACAGAAAAGCACCGACTTAAAAGGGTCAAAGGCTGTGCTATAAGTGGTAATGAGGTGCTGCTGGTATGAAGAATGAGTAAGAGCAGGTCTGTGTTGTGTGCTGGATAGTAATGTCTTGTTGGAATTCAGGCATTGCTATGCTCTGACATGTTTTTTTTAAATTAGCTTTTCTTCTATATAAGACCATAAGGAAGGAAATTAATCTGCATTAAATGTAGTTATCAGTTCTTGCTTTTAACAATTCAAAAAAAAAAAAGAGGAAAAAATACAAAAACATTCCCACTTTAATTCTTGTAACTGATTCAGATCAGCTTTGCCTCATTATTTTTTGGTGTTCCTCAAACCGCATTTCTTTCTGTGTAAAACATATGCTAGCAGTGACAAAAAGGTGTCAACAATGATAAAAAAAAAAAAGTTTATATACAGTATGTACTCGATTGCACCTGATAACCAACTACAATACATAGAGGGAGTCAAATGACAGGTAGCCAGGAGATTTTTCTGGATACCAGTAACGGGGGCAAAAGATATTCCAGCAAAGTTGAACAAGTGTTGAAGAAAATTTGGGCCATATACTGGTGATCGTACTCACTTATGTTTGTCACGTCATAAACAAATACTATATTGAGGGTGAGATATTAAAGAATACTGCTAACAGCTACTGCAGCAATAAAGTGGATCACAGTGAAGTCGCTCAAACCTGTAAAACAACTAGTTCAAAAAGTTATGGGAGACAAATCAAATGGAACAAATGATACACTCCCTGACAAAGATTTTTTTTATCAAATGGTGGAGGCCGCCTTATAGACTTGCAATATTAACATCTTCATTCATCCATTTCCTTCCACTTCATGGTCACAGGAGCTTGGAGCCTTCCCCAGCTGACATAGGGCAAGAGGCAGGGTTTTAAGAGGGCAGTGGGTATTTCCAACACTTGGTTTTCATGCCCTCTGATTCTTCTTATTTTCACATTTGCGTTCTTTAACCTCTAACGGACGCTGACTTAAAAGGCATCACTTCCAGTAAATCTGTTATAATGTAACGTAGTTCCCTCTGGAGCCACAAAAAGCTTTTCTTTTTTTCCACACATGCATTAATGCTCTCCAAGACCTGCAAACAAACTACAATAAGTAACTTTGGTGGAGTTCCCCTTTAATGATTTTCCAGAAACTTCCCCCAGTGTTGCAGCAACAGAATAATCCTCTAATCTTCACGACTCTCTTTTCTTTTCTTTTTTTCCTATCATAGTTTAGAGACAGCCAAATCTACAGCCCAGGCAGCCAGCATGGGAAGTCCAGTTGACCTCAACATGGCCTTCACCCAGCCAGCCTCCCCAGCTGCTTCTCCTGCACCCACCCTGGCTGCCGTGAGCACCCTGACCCCAGCTCATGTTCTGGGAGCTCCGTACGGTGCCATGCCCCTCTCCGGGCTGCTGGGGGTGAAGTCCGTCCCCTTTCTGACTTTGTCCAGCCCGGCCCCAGCCGTAGCCGTCACTGCAGCACCCTCCCACACCACTCTGGCTGCCTACACAGCCAAAATCTCTTCAGCCAACTGCATCAAAAAGCCAGAGAGACAGAAGTTCGCTCCCTACTGATGAAGCCTCTGAGCTCCGTGCGCAGAGTCAGATGAAGGACAGCTGCAGTGTTCTTTCACAAACCCCTGATGTAGCCATATCCGCTGGCAGAGATGCTCTTGCCTTTTATTCTATGACACACCAACAGAGACGAGACCAATGGAGATGTGGATAAAGCTATTAAAAGTTATTTACGACTATAGATAATTTGTGAGTTACCCATGAATTGATGGACAGCTTTCATTGTCACCTCATCACTGTTATTGATCACAAAAAAACAATAAAAAAAAAAAAAGGGCTGAGGTCTCACCTGAGACACACATGTTTACCAGTGTTTACATGTGTGTCTCAAGTTAGAGATCAGCTAAGTATTTATCCTCAATAAATTTGTAAATTATACTCAGATGACAGATGCTCTACTGTATGATGCTTTTATACAATGTCTACGTTTGCCTCTTGAAGTTTTTAAGAAAATTTGTAAATGTCTGGGGGGTGTTTTGTTTTTGTTTTTTTGTTTTTTTTTTAATAATCTGTGCTATATTACTGTACTTTACGTTGTTCAGTGTTATGTCTTTTTTGTTGGAATTTATTTTGAATGTGCAACTTGGTTAATCTTTATTTATTAGTATTGTTTCACTTATTAAAAGTCTTTGGTTCCTGTTAATGGTGGCTTTATCTATTTCCTTCACAGGCATTCAAAGAGCAATGATGCAGCTTTGCAGAAACTCATTTTCAGGAGGAAACAGTACACACACACACACACACACACACACACACACACACACACACACAAAAACAAGACAACGCCACATTTAGGTTTTCTCTCAAATAACAACAAGATGGGAGGTTCTCATTTTAGCTGCAAGAACTGATGAGAGATTCGTTTCACACTATTGTGCTCATGTGCCCCAAAACAATAACTGCAGAATGAGACGGTGCAACCTCAGAGGAGAAAAGAGCTCTGCTGGCATGATGGGCAATGTGCTCACATGTAAGTGTGCATGTATAAAAGCGCACAATCGCATGGCGTTCTGTGCAGAGAAAATGCGCTCTGTAAGTCCCTTGAGACAAAGTGTAGAGAGACTGTAAGGCAGAGGGGTTTGTGTGGGGGAAAAAGGGGCACTAGGAGCTAGAAAAGATCTGAGGATTCACAGCGATGCTGTGGAAAAAAAAATCTGTATCTGCATCAGCATGCACCACAGCATCATCATCCTCAGGAGAGGCAGCTACAATCCTTTCATCCTAACTATTTCTGTTTTTTTTTTTTTCTGTCACTGCATCATGGATATGCGAGACACTATGAATGCGCAGTTCTCACTGTTACCAAACGCATTCACTTTTCAGAGGCAAACAAAAAAAGAGCCAGTGCCTCAGTTTCATAGACTTTCTGCTGAAGTCCAGCAAACAGTGAAGCTAAATTATGACACAAAGAAAACTTGATCTTTGAGGTCCTTGAATTTCTCTTCTGTCTCTATGGTAACATCATTTGTGAGTTTATATATTATTCTTTCTAGGACCTCCTAAAATCCAAGTACATGCCAAGATATAATGCTTGTAAAATCACCTTCAAATGACAAATCAGAGCACCTTTTTCAGCAGTAACTCAAAAAAACAATTTTCTGTATGATCAGTCTCTGACATGATTGTAGAGGAATTTTGGGCCACTCTTCTTTGCTTCAGTTCAATGGGGTTTGCAGGCATTCGTGTAGGCACAGCTCTCTTAAGGGCCCACCACCTCATTTCAGGCAGGTTGACTTTGACCATTACAACACTTTCTTTTCTTTTCCAGCTGTTCTGTTTGTTCTTGTACTTGAAATCTTTGTCCTCTTACATGACCCAGTATTGGGTTTTAGCTGCCTGACAGATGACCCACCATTTGACTCCAAAATACTTTAAGTACGGAGGAGTTTGTGGTCAGCGCAACAACAGCAAGGTGTCCAGCTCCTGTTCTAAGCCCAGAAGATCATCACTTCACCACCATGCTGGACAGCTTGTATGAGGTGTTTGTGTTGATGTGCAGTATTTGTTTTTCACCAAATATGGTGCTGTCCCTTGTGGTCAAACACGTCAACTTTAGCCTCTGACTGCAGTCTATTTCTAACTAACCCATTCCCTTTGACCCTTAGTATACTATAAAAACCTATCATGTGATTATGTTACAGTTTTATAGCATTTATAGTCTGAAACAGATCAAAGTCCATAGTATTTAAAGGTTTGCCAATAGCTTACTGTGAAATATGCTTTCTTTACACGAACAGATAAACTCCACTGATATTCCAGCTCCATTACCACACACCAGATACGTTGCATTAGAATATCAAAGCATGAAGTTTGAGCTGGTGACAGCTGGGACCCTAGCTGTCACTTAGCTGTCACATTTTCTTTTTTCTTCTTCTTCTTTCAGTTGTGGTGGACTCGGGGGATGTGTGGCATGCCGTTATCTATGCACAGACACTCGCAAAACTGAAAATAGCACAAATATCTACATTCTTACCACTGTAGCGCTCAGCCTCAGTAATTCAGTGACAAACAGCACCCTCCACTGTCGACTCAATATTCTGCGTGACCCTTCACGGTACAGAAAAAGGTAGCGAGGAAGAGTTAGAGCTGATAAAAGATTGTCTTTAATGTTTGGCATTGTTAATGAATTCCATACCACAGCAGTTATGGGAGTAGGAAAACCACTTTTACAACCAAACACTGTTTGATCATGCTAACACCATATGTACAGGAAAGCACATTGAAAAGTGTATAAAGTATTTATATGAGAGGACTCAAGTCAAGAACGGTGGAGACGGCCACAGTCTAATGGATTCGTCCTTTTCCAAACACTGATTATAGATATTTATCAATTACATTGATCTCTGGAGTACATGTATATACACAAAACAACAATAAACCTTTTGGGGGTTTCTGCAATAATTCTCAAAAATATTTCACAATACTGCTGTATGTACAATAACAGAATTTACATTGAAAAATTCTATTGTACCTATATTTTGAGTATCACTTCAGTCACCAGTTATCCTCAACGCCACCAAGCTCACAAGAGATACTCACGTGCCGTTACAGATCTAATGACCTCATGTTCAACTCCATACAAAGTACAGCAGCCTATTCAGTGCCTTCTGTCTCGGTACGGTTTCTGAAATATGTTCACACAACTGATGATCTCACATACAAAAATAGATGTTGTCTAGTCAGCTGACAACTTGATGTACAGTAACACAAAGCATCCACCTGCAAAAAACAACCAGGAAAACAAGTAATTGTTAAAATATTAGCTATATCCTTCCAACCCCCACGGGACGATAAAGAGCGCTGTTCCTTCTGCCCCACAGTAAAAGTAAACCTTTCTGCCAGTCCGGGCTTCAGCATTCTTGTGTAACATGTCATCAGTTTTGAAACAACAGAAGGTAATTGAGAAAGAGCCGCAGGCAGAATAAGAAATATTAGCGCTACAAACCAAACAACAATCTGAAACCAAAGCGGGACAAAACCATACAAAAACATCACTAGGTAGATATCTTCTTTTTTTCTATTTTTTTTTCCTTCAGGGAGTTTACAGTGAAGAAAGTGAAAAGGAGAATGGCTGTTACTACATGAGCTCCCCACAGTCCGGATGAGAGGTCAAACTGCATTTGAGTGCACTTAAGGCAGGTAGGCGATTCCAATGCTGTCTGTGTGGGCTCCTCGACCGGTCACTGAGCAGTTGGGGCGGATGGGTGGGGGGCGTGTGGGCTCGACAGTGTCGTCAGGCGCAACAAAAATTGCCACTGCAGCTGTCCAGGTTCAGCCCTCACTGCTCAACATGGTCTGACAACCATACACAGAGAAGGAAAATGACGGCGAGAGAGTGGTGTTGGTGTTAGTTTGGAGTCCAGCAGGTGTGAAGTGGACAGTTCTTCATTCTCCGTGAACATGAAAGCTGACAGGTGTGGGGCCTGTCTGTCAACTGTCCTCAGTTTGCCTTCAGACTCCCAAACACCTTCATTCCTCTCGAGATATCTTTGTCACACAGAAGAAACAAATAGAGACGTCTTCAACAAAGACTCAACTTAAAGCACTTAAACATTAGCCAGGATTGCAGCTGGTGCAATACAAGTAGGAACATCTCATCTGAATACATTCACGTGGGTTTCCATACGCATGGTACGGATGGGAAATCATCAGTGACTTAAGTTCGTGTCCCTTGAGATGCTGGTCCAAGAGGAGAGCTGCAAGTACACCAGCGATTTGCGACAGCCCAGCAGCAACACGTATTACAGTGCGCATTTGATATGATTCACTATTAAGGAGCACTTAACAGTGTTTTGAAAAAACATAATGGACGTAAGCCTTTGAAAACACTATAATGTAGCAAATTTATCAAAATAAGAATTCATATATATGAAGCATTTAAAGCAGAGAAGTCACCTCGCTGTGACTAATAACCTTCTGTAGTTTCCTCGTGTTGTGAAATGACATGAAAAGCAAAATTAAGGGAGTTCACAGCTTATACTGCACCTGGGATCATGTTGGTTATGATCGTGGTCATCATGTTTCACAAAACCGTTTTCATATTATTCTCAAGTGGAAAAAAAAACATGCTCACAGACGAGTTGTACAATTGTGTACAATCAATATCAATTTTTGAACAGAAGTTAATTGATCCCATTGTTCAAGAGATATTTTTCTTTTAATTCTAAGAGGCCACACGAAGCAGCGGCAGCGGTTGTGCCTCAAACCGTAGCTTCAACCGTCTTCGCTCCTTCGTTCCTTTCCTTCATGTGCACTGAAGTTAAACCGCAGAACATGACAATCGAGCATGCTCCATTGCGTCACATTAGACTTGTTCTACTACCGCTTCCTTTTACTCAGTGCAAATGAAGGGAAGAAGAAAAGGAGAAGAAAGCTCTAACGTAAACTGAGCTGGAGTTTCAGATCACTGTGTCTCCTCGTGCTCCTCGCTGATGCACTGCTCCCAGGCATGTTTGCCCTGGTCCTCTCTGTGGCCATGAGGGGAATGGAAGATCCTGCGGGGGAGCGGGATGGGTTGAGGTGGCAGGTCCTCCTCAGGAATGCAGCCCTCTCTCAAGTAGGGTTTGGGGGGAACAGCTGGAGGCTGAGGTCTGCGGTAAGGGATGTGATGAGGGCCATGAGTAGGGGCGTGGTGGTGAGTTGGTGGCCCATGTGAGTGGCTGTCCAGCCCTGGGTGGGCATGAGCGTGAGGGTGCGGGTGGTTGTGCGGGTGTGACGCAGGGCTGCGGTAGTGGAAAGGGCGAACCGGGTCCATGGAGTCGATTTCTCCTCCGCCGTAGTGGATGTGCATGTAGGGAGACGCCATGTACTCGTCAGGTGGGGACCACAGGTGACTTGGAAGAGGCTCCAAGGCATCGTTCCTGATGGGTCCAGGATCAGGATACTGACCCCCAAAGTTACTCTCACTCAGGGAGGAGACACCGCTGCTGGCGCTGCCTGATAGAGTGGAGTTACTGCCTCCCAAAGCAGACTGAGGACTGGTAGGAGAGCCAGGGATTGGGTGGAGAGGAGACTAGAGAAAGAGAAAGAGAAAGAGAGAGGATGTCATGGGTGTCTTTTTTTAAAGTAATGTTGTTTACATTTAACGTTTACATTTCGGCTTGATATCTCTTTTAACTTTTTCCCTCTTGGGTGCTTTTTAGAGCTGTTGTCAAATTTCATCTTAATGGGGAAAAGAGTAAAGATGATATCTAAAAGTGGATCGAGGATAGGAGAAACCTCAAATAATCAAAAGATCAAAATAAACAAAGTAAACATTTGCCAGTGTTGAAAGTCATGCGTCCTGAACAAAGCAGGTGTGGTAGCAGGGTGTGGTCTTTGGCTCAGATGCAGGGGAGGGGTGGAGTAGAAGGTTTAGAAGACCGTGCCAAGAGAGGCTGGCTGGAAACTGTCAGTCCTTATCTAATCATGTCTCTTCTACTTATGCAGTAGCGCACTGAGACTGAGGTGACTGCACAGAACTTGGTTTGGCAGCCAGAAATCTACAGCGACTGGCGCCCTGAAAAAGCTCCGGCTCTGTCTGAAAAGACGGTGATAAAAGTGTGTAAATAATAAAGAAACCAAGCACACTAGTCACCATATCTGACAGTGTGTGCGTTAATGTCCCTAATGTGGCAGGGTTTTTGCTACAACAGGCAAATACAAAATTATAAATTCAAAGTGGATGATGTTTTTCTTAAGCTTGTACCTTTCGGAGGGAACGGACAGGCAGGGCAGGAGGAGGGTCGCTGTTCTGTTGGTGAAATGCATCACAGTGCATCAGGAAATGTCCTGTGAAGAGAAGTTCAAGTCAGGAAAAGGAATAAAAAAATAAAAGCCCACAAAGTCCAGATCATTATAGACAATGAGGAGTAGTACCCTAACCAAACAGATTCCCTGAAATCCTCGATAAGCATAACTGTGAAGTAAAATGAAATAGTACCTGGTGGGAAGGACCTGGGTGGGACAGGGGGCATTATTACCCCTCCGGTAGAAGCTGGCATGTAGGTCATCTGCTCCCTATTCTCCCCATCCAGACTCCAGCTACTGGGAGTGTTGGGAAAGACTGAAAGGGAATACAAAAACTTTTTTTTAAGACAGCACAAACATCTTATGCACCAAAATAGCTAGTTTGCTGCTCATATATGTTACCTTTCTCTGGTAGCGTCATATGAACATCAGTACAAGGCTTACAGGGGCTAACTTGCTGAAGTAAGGCACGCTGCATGTGGTTGTTCTGGAAAAAATAAAATGAAGCAAAAGAACAAAATGAATCAGAAACACAGAAACAGAACACATTTTTGTTTGTATATTCATTCAGCATTACGGGACTGCAGATTTCCCCCACCTGCCCATTCTCTGCCATGTTGTAGTACATGGAGTTGTTGGCTCTCTCGCGATGAGACGGCAACAGAATCATCACTTCTCGGTTGTGTTTGGCCTTATCAGGTAAGGATGGAGAGCCTGGACAAAAGAAAAGACGCGCAAGTAAACGATTTCTATTTGCAAATAAGTAAGAGACAAAGATGTTTGTTGTCATAAAAGTGCAGAATTTTGCAGCCTTGTTACTTTCTAGTGTTGCTTATTTATGTGAGCATCTTATTACAGGATGGTTAGTATGGGTAATATACAGTAGTAACTATCAGATGTGACTTTCTGCTTTGTTCCTCACCTCTGGCGCTTGAGGGGGCAGAGTTAATAATCTGGGAAGAGTTGGAGCGGATTGAGCTCAGGCTGGAGGACGAAGGGCTTGGCTGCAAAACAAAACTTTTATTTGTCTTTTGTGCTTTTGTACTCTGTAGAATAAACCAATGATTAATGCTGTGAAAAGAAAAGTTCATCAAAACAATAACAATTAAGTGAAAGAGTTAGATTATAGTTTACATCCTCAAAAGATCGGATCTCATGTGAGTTGCACTCTGTAAAGAACGCAAATTATTACAAGCTGAAGCACATTCCCACCAGTATTTGTTCGTTTTTACGTCATCCAACTCCTACCTGCATGTGTAATGCCTCCTCAGGGTGCTCCCCCATCAGGCCGTCGGTCATGATGACGAGGTTTCCTGCCTCACTCGACGTGTGAGAGGACAGGGAGGAGGACGAGTGTCGGATCGAGCCCTGCAGGTTTAGAGGACTGCAGGACAGACATAACAGTTGAGATCACTGAAACATTTATCTCTGTGTTTGTTTAATCATTTTGCATTTTTATGCCTCTTTTACAGCCTGTACAGATTTATTTCAGAGGGCATTTGGTGTTAATTTCAAGAGTTTGGCTCATACTGCATTGTAGATTCACATCACGGTCATAACATAGCGCATAAATTCATACAGCTGCCCTGGGTATTGTTTTGAAGGTTTGGAAATTATGAGGCTAAAACACCAAATGAATCTCTAAGCTAGCTTAGAAGAGCACCACGACTGACCTGTGTCTGTGCATGAGCCGCACGCTCTCAGGGCTCATGTGGCTGTGGGAGGAGAGGATGCCTCTGGGAGAATTAACCCCTGGGCACCCCGCAGGTCCAAATCGATCCACGCCAGGCAGACCCTGCTGGGACCCAACCATATACTGCTCTGAATATTTACACTGCTCACGCATACACTTACTTATAAACTTAATGCACTGAAACACACTTGGCGTATAGTTTGAGTCACGTGTCACTCTACTCACGTGGTGTAAGCCTGTTCTCATCATGTGGAACTGGTCCACAAGCTTTTTGTGCAGAGGACGCATCTCTGGATGCACCAGTTTCTCGTGAACAGCCAGCCCTACTCCGAGAATGTGCACCTGATGATGAAATCAGAGGAATCAATAGTGACCTGAAGGTTTCATAACCATATGTTATGGTTAACATACAGTTAACGTATATTTTGAACTTTTTAAACCCAGCCTGACTTGTTCCTGCATTAGATCCTTCAGATGTGAGATCCTCTCTGTATCCTCTGGGTGACTGCTGATGTAGTCTTTATCAAAGAACGCCTGTGGTAGAGGGTGAGGCAAAAAATAAAGATCTCTCTCACAACGCCAATTCATCATTCATCATTTCTGCCATCCTCTCTCCCCTCTCCCTCAGCCCTACAGCAGTACCTCCTGATATCTGGCAATGCCTCCATTCACAGCAGCATCTATGACCCCATTGAGGCACATGCTGAGCGGGTTGATGTTCCCATGATGCTGCCTGTGCTGGTACTGGCTAATCAAAGTCCGCAGCTCCTGGGTCTTATTCTCCACCACGTAAATAGCGTTCTCCAGAGGGCTGACCTCCACCTTGAAATAAATACAGATATTTACTCTGAGCTTTGATGAAAGAGGAGATGGCCTTTAAATGTTAACAGAAAACTGGCCTTTAGGTAATGTGTACGATACAAGGTGAGTGAGAGAACGTTTGAGCTCCTTACCACTTCTCTCCTTTCGACCTCTGCCCAACGGGAGATACCAGGGAGAGGACGCAAGAGGATCAAGGTTGTTCTCTCAATCCACAGACTCTGTTAAACATGTGGACAAAGAAGCCATCTCATATTAGCCACATCTGCTAGACTAATATAAAAGAAAACCGAGTGGAGACCCGACAGTGTATAAGAGATACTGGGCTGGCAAACTATTCAGCACCGTGTTGTAGAGTACGATATAGGTCATTTCAGACTAGTGAGAATTCCTGTGTGGTGTGGTTCTGAATTTGGGTTACTGTGTCAGGACAAACAGCATCATACCTACAAGTCTCTTAAGCCCTGAAGGTTGTAGGGATTTGAGCATTGTTAGCATCGAGATAGAAATGGCAGGTAAAATAACAACAATAAAAACAACAGCAGCAAAAGTTAAACAACTGTATTAATTTACTGACTGTTAAAGTTATAATTTAAGGGAAATTGATTTCTTCTTTTCTTTTTATCTTACCTTATGTACATGTAGTATCCAGTATTACAGTACTCACAGTCAGAGTATTCTGGTTGTGTTATGCACATGTAAACATCTTATTTTGAGAAAACAGAATTTTGCAGTATAGAAAATACCTTCTTTAAATTCCTTTTTTGGTACAGATAGCCTCTTATAATCTGATACTGTTATGATCCTGTTTGGTGATAATAAGATCCCGAATGTTGTGTTTCAAACTTAGTTGAAATAAATCTGAAAGATTAAGTGAAATAAGATTAAGTGGTTAGGACTTTAAATATATCATGAAATTATTAACTTGATACAATGAATGCTTTTCACCACCTGTCAAGATGACTTTCTTCTTTTATTATTGTTGTATTAAGCCAATACATAGGCTGAACGGCCACTTTGTTAGGCACACATGCTAAAGTGTTCATTTAAGCAAAATGAGCTACTGAAGTTTAAACCGAGCATCAGGATGGGGGAGAAAGATGATTTAAGTGACTTTGTAATAGTCTTTGGTGCCAAATGGGTTGGCCTGACTATTTCAGAAACTGCCGATCTAAATATCAGACCATTATTCATCACTGACTTTTTTTTACCACGGCCTCTGTGCGCTGTTACATTTCGCTTCATCGTTTGATGGTGACATTTCGCCCTGGCTGGGAGTCAAAAAGGAACAGAGCAGCTATGGTTCAGAAAGTAAATAAGACTGGCGTGGGAAAAGACATTTCCAGCAGATACATTCAAACAGATTTTGAGGTTATTAAGAATTTATTTCCCAAATGTATGAAGAGAATTATATCCAAAGGAGCTGCTGGGTTTCAGCACATTTTAAACCGTTACTGTGTCACATGCTGCACTGAGTGATCTGAAAATGTTAAGAAGGAACCAAATTCATACATAAGATAGGCAGGCAGTTTCATCGTTGTATCATTTGCTGTATATCATTCAGGAAAGGCTATCATGTCAAGGTGGGTCAACATCTCTGAGGTATGTTATTGAATTTATGCCACAAAGAATTAAAGCAGCTCTGAAGGCCTGGTACTAACGAGATGTACTTAATAAAGTGGCTGATGAGTGTATATTTATTTGTATCTATATATGTTATGTGCCTATAATTATTTCATGCTAGTGCAGTTTTGCTTTTCCTCTTCACGCATTATTCAATTTTGCAGTGATTACGACTGATGTGGTCACATTTTATTCAGTGACTGTTGCTACACAAGCGAGTCATATTTGAATGAAAACCTGATATTACAAACTCAATTTACTCCACACAGAAGAACTATTAAACCAGAATGTGTCTCAAATAATAATGCGGCAAATGTGACAATATTGACTTTAGCTGACCAGATTTAATACTAAAAATCTTATTAACACTTGGTTTAACTTTGTTGCAATTTTTTCTCATAGCTCATAATAAAGTAAATCTAATTATATTTATCTTCAATTACGTAGCAGAGAAATTTAAAGGCATTAAAGGTCTTTAAAGGCGTTATTGTCTAAGAGCTGTAGGCACTCCCCTGTGGCCACCTTAAGTGTTGCACTTGCTTACGTCACCTATACCTGCTTATGTCTCTTAAATGAAAAAATGTCTGCATAATTACACTGCAATTTCCACAGAGTTGGATCCGTTTCATTGTTTTATAATAGCGTTTTATAATAGCGTTACAGCCATATTCAGTATTTTCATGTAAAAAAAACTAAACAGTGAGTCAGAAATGGGCTGAGCTGGCACTGCGGGCTCAACGTACCCTGAACTCATTCTCGCGGTCCTTGGGCCCCTTGTGGAAAGGTCTGTCATAGTGGAAGCGGCTGACATTGTTTATGCGGTAGAAACTCTTGATCCTCTCAGGCACACGTTCCAGCTGAGGCACATCAGAAATGTCTGACACTGGAGTCACCGCATAGATCTGCAAGTCTAGAAGCCAAGTGTCAAGGAAGTGACAGACAAAGTCCGACATACATGCATATTCACTGAGGAGGAAGAGCAGAGGGGATGTTCAAAAGAAATACTTAGACAGAGCTTTAGTTTTTCCTGTGTGACCCTGGAAATCAACTTCAGTGTTTAGTTCAGTATTTAATCTGTAATAATCTCTAATAACAACACTCAAATGCTTAGCAGAGTAATCAAAAGCCAATAAAATGCACAACACGTGGAGCAATCGCTCTGCTTTTCAAGTCATTAAATCTACCAGGCAAAAATGCAAAATAAATCTGGTTACTGCTTTTCGAATGACTCAATGCAATATGAACATCTGCGGACTGATGTTGTAATGGTCTCTCACTCTAAAGAAAAAATAATGAAGTCGTTTTAGCCATAGTGAAACTGCCAGGATACACTGAGCGTCACTTTGCAGGATGGTGTCGTCTGGAATGTTTGGATGCTGCATGGCGATGGCTTGCGGAAATTCCCCCAGCATCCTTTGCTGAAAGTCCTCCAGCCGTTCATAGTCATACCCACGACAGACAAACTCCTTGTTCTGGAGAAAGAGAAAAGACATAAGACGGAAATGTTGCTGAGAATCTGCTGCAAATGATTCTCAGAGTTTAAGTGAGGCATTCCTCTGGACATTGCTTAATTCTTTCAAGTACTGTCTGATTTACTATTAAATTTAGGTGGTATTGCACAAATAAATTACATTTCAAGAAAGGGCGTATGGTTGGATTTCCAGTGCACTCGTCAGACTATAAATATATAATCTGAAGTTTGTAGAGTCAAACTGAATGGATAGATGCTTCATTTTATACATCAGTGACAAGTGGACTGAGAACGTCTTAATTTAAAGATTAAGAGGCTGAATACTTGTGTCCGTATAGTTTATGTGCAGCAGTAGATAGGCGACTAACTGAAAAGCATACAGTGGTTTTTCAGTTAGTGGACTATCTACTAACTAAAACCAAGCGCAGACCTAACTCTTTATAGCTACTGAACATTGAAGTAAGCAAATTACAAAATTAACCACATTTGTGGAAGAATGGGTTGTTCTAATGAACTCACTGAATTTGAGTGAGTGTGGTACAATAATAGGACGTCGCTGGTAAGACAAGTGAGTTTGTGAAATGCCTTCCTTCGTAGATATTCCCCAATAAACTGTAAGTGGAAGCATTTAGGAACCACAGCAACTCAGCAAAGTTGCAGGCAACATAGTGGGGTCACCAAGTGTGTAAAATTCACCAGTGCTCTGCTGAGCTCCACACCTCGTCTGGCATTGATATTAACACAAAAACTGTGCATGGGAGTTTCATGCATGGATTTCAAGCTCCTGTAGGTGTAATGAATGAGTAGCCCAATACTTATGGTCTTTGTAGTGTATGAAAGAAGTGACAGGGAGCAAAGTAATAGGACAGACAACTAAACAAGCCTCTGTAAAGCCCTCAGGAATGAGAGATTTAGGTGATAATTCTAGGATAATTTTCACAGTGTTCTTTAGTACATTCACAAAAAAACAAACAAAACAAAACAAAAAGATTATAGCTACTTTAACTAAGGGTAATAGGCAAGGCAATGAGTGCAAATAAATCTGTTGTCAGAGGACCGCACTGGGCAGACTTACTTAGATTAGAAGAAATTAATGCATCACCCTAAAATCTGTCAGGATGGCCATGACATATTTGGTAGTAATGGTTGGTAAACAATCTTACTTTTTAACTTCTCATCTTGCACAGCCTACTGCAGTTAAAGCAATGGTGGAAGTGCACATCTGAACACATGGGCAGGATTATATCTGTGTCAGACTGGATTTGGAAAGTCCTACCCTGAGGAAGAAAGGAAACTTCCTGCCATAGAAGCCCATTCGAAAGAACTCCGGTTCAATCCTCTGCTGTTCAATGATGTTGTCATAGTATGCTGCCTCCATTTTCTGTCACCGAATGAAAAAAATGCAAAAGAGTCAAGATGAATAATCGAGCAATCACACACATTACTGAGCTGACTCCATTTTCTTGGGAGTGTGGGCGTGCACAGGTAATTAGGACATTGTGTTTGCCGCTGTGCACGCGTCACACCAAATAACAGAGCATGATGATAACGGAGGAAGCTGTCAACACTACCACCTTCTTCATCACAAAGGATGCTTGTTTGTTAATAAAAGCAGAAATGAGGAACATGCGGGACTTACCCGTATCCAGCTGAGGCTCTGATAATCATATAGAGTCTCATACTGGAAAGCTAGCTCCCGGCAAAGAGAGATTCCATATTCCCAGCACTGCAAAGTCATAAAATGAAGCTGAATGAGAATAAATCTTGATTTATCCTTAATAATCAAGAGAAATGTCATAACATTAAAAGTGTGTTTTGGGAAGGTTGTAGGTTATTAAGATTTTAAATGGAACAATTTCAGCATCTAAATTGTCAGATTAGTGCAAAGAGACCATTATGATTTCAGGTTTTCTTTTTCTTTTATTAATATTGTTTTTTCCATTTCTCCATATAAGAGAGTTAATTGGTATGTGTGATAGAACGTGTTGCTGAGTCTGCTATCTACTGGCAGTTTTACCTTACATTCATCATTTTTCATTACCAGCAGCAGGAGCAGCTTTACTGAGATCTACACTGAAAAAAATTATCTGGTGGATTAAAAGAAATATGAAAAAAAAAAGTATGAGTATTAGTTTTATGCAGTAAAGTTAGGATTAGTCAACTCTTATTTTCTATGTTATTATTGCAAAACTGTATTCGGTTAATTGAACTTTTTTATGTTTTTCATTCATGTGAAGACTTTTGAGTCATCTCATGTTAGACAATTCAAATTGCAATGATGTAAAAGCTGAAACTCTTACCGGGAGAACTGAACTGCAGCAAACTGCATATAATTTTAAACCACTTCGCCAAACTCTATTAAATCTGCTTTTTTCCTCATCTATCATTTTTTTTATTTCTTCATTTAACCTGTCATATTATTCCCACTGTTTCTTCAATTTCCTAATCCTTGTTTTATTTGTGTTTTTTAAGCTATTTATTTAATTATAATCTATTTGCTTTGCAAAGCCCTTTCTATTATTGTGTTATTGTAATTATGCTATGAATGTTTAATAGATACAATTTGTTGCTGCTAAATAAACTAGCATTATTAGTCACATTTCTTTTCAGAGCGGTGTATGAAAGTGAAGGTGGTTAGCATAGTTTATTTTAAATGTGTTACAAAATACATTTAAAATGTGTTAAAATTGTGCTTAAACGAGAGGAAAAGACGAGCATAGTATTAAAGATCTAAAAACGTAACCTCGCTTAGCTGTTTTCTCTCTGATTCATACACAGTAGAAACATTTTTCTAAGTCTCATCATTTATTTCACAAGCTTTCCTTTAAACAGATACAGATTTCTGTTCGCCGTGTATGAACTGTAACAAATGCAGCAGCAGGTAAAGAACAGCTTCCCTTTTTAAACGAGAGCAGCAATAACACTGATTTAATGAAGGAGGCCACTTTTATTTCTTTCTCAGCTGCTCCCAGAGTCCAGAGGGCATTGTCCTCTCCAAAGCAGCAACACCAGTCAACTAATTCAATTTGGTGGATGAATACCAGCCAGGGAGGAATGATTCTGGGAAGCAAATCACATTTGAACAGAAATCTGACCCTCGCTGCTGCGTGCAAAGGCAGCATGTTTGTATTTGTATTATGATAGTCTGTGTTTACTTTAGCACAGAGAACTCTTAACTTAATTTAACTGGTTTTAGTTGCAATGATTTTCCACATATGATGATTGGGTTGCACAGTAAACAGTAAAAAGATGTAACAACTGAAGATTGCATAGAATAGTAGAACAGTAGCTCCACTACCCACCTAACACAGCATTAATGCTCTACAGAAATATTCATAAAGAGCCTATACTGGTAATAATAACACAATTACAGTTTAAAATGCTAATAAGTAATGAAATTACATTTTAAAGCTTTTATACAGCATGGTTTTACACTGCAGGGTTGGGTGAAGGGTTAGTGCTTCTTTCGCCCCTCTGAATTCTAGTTTAAAAGAAGCATGCAGGACTAACTTATGAAAAATAAGAGGAGATATGCAATTACTGGGGCTGGCAAAAGATGTAAAACACACTAAAAACTTGGGAAAAACATTGAATAGAAGCACTACAAGACTCTGACTCACTCCCAGATTTAATGAGGGAGAAATCTGATTATACTTGGGAGCAGCTGCACTGCAGATGAGAACAAACAGCCCTTTGAACAAAAAGCAAAAAAAAAAAGCTATAAAATTGAATGTCGCCTTCATTTATCTAAGTTGATTTAGCTTCAAATGTGACTTGTCCAGCACGACCTAGTAATATCAATCCATCACTATAAAGTTAACTCAGCCTTTACTTCATTTCCTCATTTGACTCGCTGCTGGAGGCTCCGCTGCAGTGCAGTCAGAGGTTAGCACAGGTCAGAAATTACAGGCCTTTAACATTTGCATGAAACACTGGATTTAAGTCAGCGGAAACAGGAGCAGGAGACAAAGGAAAGGTATAAAAAATATTCACTTGCCTTGCCCTTGTTGAAGTAGTGGAGGATTTTACGACTCAGGTTCTCTTTACGTTGCCATTCGCTCTGACAGGGATAGTGAAGAAAATCCCTTAGGGGCCGGTCCTCCCACTGTAACAGCTCCCAGTACAGCAGGAGGGTGAAGGCTGCCTCTGTTGTCAAGAGGGTATGAAAAAAAATTGAGATTACCTTCTATAAAAGTAAAAACCCAAAGGCTTTAGGCACAGTTACATTTTTTTGTCCAGTTTTTGTGAACAGATGATGTATGACATAAAACAGTCGGATGAACCTAAGCTCCCCTGATAATCATGGTTTTGTTTAAAAGCAGTCAGACTACAGGGAGCATCTGCACAGTTAACACCATATCAGACCTATAATATAGTTTTGACTGAAGCTGACTAATCATGGGCATGGATGTCATGGCAACTTTGGGATTTAATGGTTTCTTTGAATCATTCTTTTTTCCAGGGTTTACTAATTGCGCAGCATACAACATGTTTAATGAGTTTAAAAAAAACAAAACAAGAATTGTGTGCACAAGTTTGAATTCATTTTGGATTTTCTCTAATTCAAGCAAGACCAAAAGTATATTCATAGGCTGAAATACACCTCTGCTAATATTTGGTAAATGTAATTCTAGTTGGACCCTTCTTCTTGGCAGAATGGCAGAGACCATTTAAATTGGTTGGCTTCCTGGCACAGATCTGGCTTTTAAGGGTAATCAATTAATTTTTTAGGAAGTTTAATGTTAGCCTGCTTTATCCATTCCAAAACCAATACTCATGTGTGTTTGGGATCATTGTCCTGTTGGAATAACCAATTATGTCCAAGTTGATTTGAGGTGAGGTTGCTATTTCATTCATTTTGTCTAATGTAACAGTACCACTGGCAGTAAAACAGCCTCAGAGCATGATGCCACCACAACCATGCTTGGCGTTGTAGTGTTCTTAGGTCTGAAGCCTCACCTTTACTTGTCCAAACATGTCTCTTGTCATTGTAGCCAATTGTAGCTTGTAGATTGGAGATCAATCTTTGTCTCAACTGACCATAAACCTTTTCTCTAGAAGGCGTTTGGCCTCTCCGTGTGGGCAGTTTCAGATTTCGGCTGCATATTGAATTGTTTAGTCGTGTCCAATAAGTCAATTGTGATCACTGAGGAGAAGTTAATAGGCCTCGGTCTTGTTGAGTTAAAAGACATCGTAGAATCTTCTGCATCACTTATTAAATAACTAAGTCTGTACATATATATATATATATCTATATCTCTCTCTCTATATATATATATATATATATATATATATATATATATATATATATACGTATACATATATATATATATATGTAGGCGAGTGGCTCCAGCAGGTCCCGGGAATAACATCGGAGATCTCTGTCCAGAAGAGCGCAGTCCTGGGAACAGCTAAGATACTGCGTAGGACCCTCAAGCTCCCAGGCCTCTGGTAGAGGACCCGAGCTTGAAGGATAAACCGCCCGCAGGGGCGTGCTGGGTGTTTTTATATATATATATATATATATATATATATATATATATATATATATATATATATATATATATATATATATATATATATATTAGCCAGTATTTATACTTTTTTAAGTATGAAATGAACAACTCTCTGTTTATTTTTCTGACCGTGAGGAGTATAAAAAAATTGTATTAAACTAAACAAATAGATAGTGAGTTGTCTCCACTATGGACTCTTTGTTAATTGTGAAAAAGTCAACACACTTTGGTAGGTGTAATGTCACATAAAGTACAACTGAAATTATTAGTTCAAAAAGATTTTCAGTTGTTACAATTTGCTGATTTTTGTCTTATGAAATGATAAACTAAGTTTCCTTGAGTTTCTGAGTGTTGGTTGGACTATTTGAATTTTCAACCAACACTAGACTTCCACTAAAATCCATTTTATGCTGATTATCCTTTGTGTCCAAAGAAGACTTTTTACATAATGAATGATTAATCTTGTAAACACATAAATTGGCAGATTAACTGATAATAAAAAAAAAAAAAGTAAGTGTTCCAGCACTACGAACCCACTGTACCCGCTGATCCCACCTTCTGAATTGAATCATATTTTGGAAAAAAAAAAGCAAAGTTTTTTAATGTTGGTTCTGATTCACACAATAACCACATGTGCAATCACACCCAACTCTGCTGGACACTTAAATGTGTTTTGGTCATTTTCCCAGCTGCCTGTTGTTTGTTTTACGTAAGCGGCAATGAATAAGATTGAATTCAATTAGTCACATTTGGCTACATTTATGCGCACACAATAACACCACTGCTGATAATGTGAGATAATGTGAGTAAAGCTTTACTCACACAAGCCATTTACACAGTAAGATTACGCGACAACTTCCCCTGATTTCTGCTTTATGTGACTAAAGTGACATTACCGCATCGTAAATGTACTGTAAAGCCCCTTCTTCTCCAAATAAAATGGATAAATGTGATATAAATCTCACATTTACAACTTACATAAAAAAGCTGGCTGTACAACCGCCATGCAATAGTTTGACTTCTTAATGTTAAGCTAACAGCACATAATTATCTCTACCTGATATTAAGCTATCTATTTAACCATGGGTGTCGTTACACTTGTGTGATGTCTCTGTTTTTAGCACACCATTAGTTTCTCTATTATCTTCTTCATCTGCAGCCCAACAAAGAATCCAGTCAGCTGTAGTGAAGTTTCCCCCAGTTTGAATAGGACGATCCCCGAGTGTCAGATGCTGAAAGCTGACTTACTGCAGCTACCTGCTCAATAGCTCATTCTTCTTAGGCAACAAAAAACCCCAACTATGTGAAGCAAAGCTAGTAAGTATGTAAAGTCTCATGTGCAGGAGTAATAAATCAACTGGAGCATGAAGGAGACGTCCATCAAAGGGTATGCACGTGTACACGCTCTCCTGAACATGAAGTCAAACTGAATTTCACCAGGAACAATTCACTTGTGTGTGTGGCTAAAAACTGTGGGGGTAGTGCTAGCAGGCTAATAACAACAGTCCACAAAGTTGCAAATTATGACTACACAGCAATAGCATCCTCCCTTCTGCTGCTTGCATCATTGTCCTGTGCAGTCATAAAACAGCAATATGAAAGGTCAGTATCTCAGACTGGCATAAAAGAGACTTTTTTGCACTCCAGTTGAATTAAAATCTGCACAGAGGCAAAGAGAGAAGGTCAAATCTTGCATTTTTTTGTTGCATTTATTTAATTCTCATGTGCAAACTCTAAAGGATATTCCATTAAATATCTCAGGTACCTGTGAAGTCCTCTGCTTGGAGATGCAGGTCACACAGCTTGTGGATATAACGGATGTACATGTCTTCTTTGTTGACCTCTGATTTGTAGAAGTTCTGATTTTCAAAATAAACACGAATGGTGAATTTGTCTCCCCAATTTTGAAAATATTAATATATGCTTTTATAAAATCCAGAATAAAAACTCATGAAACTTCTCACCATAAGATTGACAGAGCCACCAATTTTCTTGTTCTCCATCTCATCTCCTTTCATGCAGTCCCTATAAATATGACGTGTTTACTTCTTATTGCTCTGCGATTTATTATTAGAAAGCAACATAGTTAAGATGACAACTACATTTTAGCCTACCTGTAATCTAGTATTCGCTCAACAAGTCTTGTGACTGATGTGACAAATGAGATTCCTGTTTCTCTCCAGGTCTCCTGCTCAATCTTCTCCAGCAGGCTGCACAGAAAATACATTAAAGCATTTTTACCAAAGGCGATGAGCACAGAAATGCAACACATATGAATAAATATGTCTGCCAGTCCATTCACCTTGGATACGGACCAAACAGTTGGGTCCTCGGGTGACGACAAAACAAAAAAGAAGCGTGTTAGAAGGAAATACTAATAGAGTGGCATTATCCTGAATATCACTACACAGGCTCGCTAAACACGGGTTTGATGCTTACAACAGGCTGAAAAGCTCTCTGTGATTGTCATCGCCTTTCCCATCCGACACCATGCTGTCCAGCTTATCCATCAGCTCTGCCTCCACCTACACAAGCACAAACACATTCAGCCAAAAGATGTTATGTGACAAAGAGCCTGTCCATCGCTGCAAGCTAACAATGGGTTCATTTCATAGTGCAATGTCATAATTATGCTACCTGTTTGAAGTTTCCATTTTTCCTCTGCTCCCAATCCATCATGTCATGAAAAATTGGGATCATAATATTTCGAACCTCGGTCTGTGGAACCAGCGTAACACCAAGGAAGGGACCCATCATTCCTGGGATGAAGTGTGGCTTATTGTCTCCTGGATTAAGAAGATTCATACAGACAGACCAGTTTGTTTGCACTAATTTCATGGATATACGTAGTACTGTGAAAAGTCTTGAGCCACCTTTTATTTCTTTATACTTTGCTATGAAGTAGCTGAACTTATTTTACTTTTTTAAAGTGGTCTTGAGCAATAGTTCTCCAGGTTTTCTGAGGGTGTTTAATAGTTCTTCTTTGGGCATCAGCTGCTCTGTCATTCATGTTTTTTCCAGTCACTGTACTTGTACATTTTCAAAAAACATTCTGAGAAATCCCTTTTTTTTCTGGGTGGCATGGTGGTTAGCCTGGTTGCTTCCTAGCAAGGAGGTCCTGGGTTTAAATCTACCAATCACCTGCTGGATTTTGTGGAATTTGAATATTTCCCCTGTATCTGTGTGGGATCTCTCCTGGTACTTCGGCTTCCGCCCACAGTCCAAAGACATGTGGTTAGTGGGGTTACATTAATTGGTCATTGAATGGTTGTCTGTGTCTGTGTTATCCCTGCCACAGCCTGGTGACCTCTTCAAGGTGTACACAGCCTCTTACCCTATGTTAGCTAGCATAGGCTCCAGCAACCCCCCAACTCTAAATTGGATGCAGGGTTGCAGGGATGTAAACAGATGTTAAGTAACTTAACACTTGGTTTTTCAAGCATAAAAAAACATGCCTGATTCAAAGAATGAACCTCTGTTGTTTCTACACAACAACAACTTAGCATACAATCAGTTCTAAACTGTATTTTTATGCATGTTGTTGCTAGAAGCATGTCACAAAAACACACTTGTTCTAATTTCTTTTGTTAGCTACAAAAAATACCACAGTTTGATGGGCCTAAACTATATTGTTTTGCTAGCAAGGTGAATCCCAAAGAGCTATTAGCTGCAAACTTGGTATATGAGAAAATGGTGAGTTTTTTAGTGGAATTTGAGGAAATTGGTCAAGTGGAGGACACCTGACATCAATGCATCAGTGGCCACAAGTTTCATGGAGTGCTTAATCCAAATGAAACTTCTGGTTCAAATTGCTTTCAATATGTACAGAGGAGGTCAGGAGAAAGGTAGAACAGCAAGTGTCTACAGGCAATTCTAAAACACATGGAGAATCTGTCATGATTTGGGACCGCATTTCAGCTGGTGGTGCAGCCAGAAAAGTGCAGTCAAGTTTTATTCCACCACACAATACCATCTAAAATGCTTCTGATTGCCTTAGGCTTCATTTTTCAACTTGAAAATGATCCCAAACACACTGTCAATGAAGTAAAAGTGTACATTATCAGTCATGGACTGGCCTCCCCAGAGCCCTGACCTCAATATTACTGAAGCAGTGTGGGATCATCGTGACAAAGAATGGAACAAAAACCAGCCAACATCCAAAGAAGAGCTTTGAACGTCCTTCAAAAAGCCTGGAGAACTATTCTCAGGAGCTCAGGCTGTGCTGAAGAGTAAAGGTGGTCATACCAAATATTGCCTTTCAAGCACATTGTAACTATAAAACTCTGTTTTTGCCTTATAGTCACTATTTTTCATGGATTTTTGCACGTTTCAATAAGTCGTTCCACCCAATTCCCAGTTTTCCTATCAAAATAAACAGAAATGAGGAATGGCTTGAGAATTTTGTACAGTAGTGTAATTGTTAGTGATACATGTATGTGTCTGTGCTAAAAGTGGGCATCACAAACCTAATTTTTGCCACATGCTGAAGAGCTCATATGCCATCATAACTCTCATGTCACCATACCTACAAATAGAACAGCAAAAAGAGATCAAATGTCGAAAATGACATAATTAACACGATGCTTGGAAGAAAGCACACACAATTAAAAAACTCTTACTTATCTAGGACTTTCTTTCTCTTTGCAGGACCTAATGACTCCAGCTGCAGGCTGGGCTGGTTGATGTACAGCACAGTGAGGCTGAAAAAGGAGTTCCACACCTGACAGACAAAGAATTATAAACAAAAGTAAAGAAACGCAACACTGAATGACATTTAAATTGCGCTAGTTAGCTGCTGTGTGGCTTCATGGTGTAGTGAGCACTAGCTGCTCTCCTAACACGCACCTTGAAATCAAAATCTGCATCTGAGAAGTTCTTGTGCAGTGCCGGAGACAGAAACTGTGTTGTCACTACGATGATACTGCAGAAAGCAAACATTACCCTGTCAGCTTACAAAATGAGCTAGGTGCCAAAAATAGATGAAACATTTTGCAACACAAGCGTCACCTTCAGAGTAGGATTATCTGAAGAAAGCCTGATCTAATGGTTGGCTGTATTCCCTTACCATCTCTGGGACAAAGACTGCATGATAGAAATGGAAAAAGCAGACTCACTGACTGGTTAGGAGCCGCATGACACTCCAGTCACGGGGGAAGATAGTCAGTTTCATCAGATTGCGAAACACGCAGAAGATCTTCAACAGGAACTCCTGCAGAGGAATATATTAAGAAAGAGTATGCAGTTCTGAAATGTAGTAAATAGGCCACTGCACAAAGCTTTGAGACTCAGAGAGTTTCCCACCTTTAGTTCCTCCTTGCTGTGGAAGTTGTTGAGTAGATGGTGAAAATGGATCTCCGTCATCTGCCGGAGCAGGGACAGAAGACAGGAAACATACTCCCCCTGCATGCAAGAACATCGCAGGCACAGAAAGGTTAATGAAGAAAAAGATGAACTAAATGGAATTTATTTTTACTGTCCATCAAAGATGCCGCTTGCGCGACAGTTTACCGTTATCTCAGCAGTGCACTGGGGGCATCTTTGTCCTCTGGATGTCTCCACAGAGTGAGATTTGCTCATGATGGACAGAAGAGTTTGCAGCAGCACATCCAGTAAGCTCTCCACCATCATCTCCACCTCCTCCTGAACAGAAGACTCCTGAAAACAAAAACCAAAGGAGTAAACTGACGGATGCAGCGCAACTAAAAAACATTAGCATACAATACGTCAGTATGTGTTAAGTATGCACAGAGAACAGGGATCTGTACCATTGAGCTTGTCTTGATTATTGAAAAAATGCTGCCCAGGATCCCAGAACAAATGAGCAGCTCCCTCTGCTGGCGTAGATGCAGGTGGATGTGATGTAAAACCACTGGCAACAATATACTACGAGATTCTGGCAAAAGAGGAAAGAAAAGAAGGAAGCAAACTGAATATAAAACGAAAAACACACTTTACGCACATTAGATTTGCATGGGCTGAAACTGTCAGACCATGCTGTTCTGTCATCTTCAGAGAAAAACATTTTCTTAAAACCTTCACAATTGTCTCACCGGGGAAGAAAAAGAGGCGGCTCTCGACTGTGCGAGCAATAGACTGCAGCTTGACCACATCCATAGACTGGCCAATGTCCACTGTGCTGGGCATGCTCCCTAGGGTGCCCCTGACATATTCAGCTACCTCCTGAACAGTGAACATCTGCAGCAGCTCATCAAAGATATCAGGGAAGCTGTTCAACAGCGCTGCCTTGAGAGGGAAACAAAACACAGAGCTGCAATTAGTAGAATACATAGGGAACAAAAATTCAGTTTCAAAGATGCTACAAATAAACTGAAAGTCATAATACAAATGAATGAAAAGGCCTTTCTCCATGACATACACACATAAAATGAAAAAACAAATTAAGCCGAAACTCAAAGGAATCCAGCAAATGTGTTGATGCACAAAACGGTTTAGTTAATTTTATATTTACTCTCAAATTAAAACATCTAATCTTTCAGATCCAGGGTCAGGTTGTGCAGCATCTGCTGCATTGTGGAACAAACACAAGGGGGCGCTGTCACTTACTGAGGAGGACGAGAGCCCAGGAGCATGAACACAGAGAGGCATGCAGCTGATGAAAGCCCTAGACTGTCCAAAAATCAAGCCAAGGAGGGCTCAACAGTGGCAGTGAAGGATGGAAGCATCAATCAAAAAAACACAACAAATAAAAGTCACAGGAATAAAAGAAGTTAACAAACTCAAGCAATGAAATATGAATGCAAACTGAGAGTGAATAAAACTGAAAATTACAAAAATTACAAAAAAAAAAAGATAAAAATGGCTGGTGAGCAGGTGACATAAGGGGGATTTTGAGAGTAGCTTGAAGCGTGAAGCGTCTGACCTGTGTGAACACCAGATTCTCTGAGCTGCGGCTATCCAGACTCAGGACAAAGCGGATCGACTGGAAAAGCTCTTGGATGCTGGCTCGGAACTGCTCCTCCTCCATCCCACAGGTGGCTCTTGAGTACAGGATACGAGACTGGACGATGAACTTGAACAGATACTCTAACGCCTGAGTTGATTGTTGGGGAGATGTAGATAGGGAGTCAGTTGGTGCTCACTTCATCAGTTTCCAAACAAAGAATGAAACTTGCATGCTGGATGAGTTGAATATTGAAAATCAATACATAAAACAAATGCTTTTTAATCAGGCCCTGTGACAAAGTATCTGTTTAAGAGATTCAATCACAAAGGAAATTCAAAGAGCACATGGAAATGCTGCACTCTGTATGTCATTTTTAATAACTTCCTTTCATTAGCTTTTCTTTCAGAAGGACATCCGCTTCCTGAGGCCTCATACGATGTCACATTATTCCTTATCAGCACATCTGTTTGACCATTTCCTCATGCCATGCTAATTAATCGCTGCAGAATGAGCCAAGGAAGAACCAGAAGCGAATGAGTGCGAGACTTTACCCTCATGGCTTCCTGTATGTGGTCCTGTCGGACGACCTCGGCTGAACGGTCCATGTACCACTTTAGACATCGAACCAGCTCTCTGCAGACAAATTGTCTCAAAGTAAGACACTTTGCGCAAAACCAGAACCTGAGCTTCTTCTTTATTTGTGCTACAGACTAACTTCAAAGAATTTGGTAAATGTTTTTATACTTGTATGCCAAAGCTCCTGCAAAGTGGTTTTGTATGTAGGAGTCCATGACGGGTCTGAAGTGGTAGAAACGGCTGTCCCTGAGCAGGTTAATGATGAAGACCTGAGCACACAAATACATATAAGTTGTAAAACACTTCCTCTACCTAAAAGTCACAATACATATTTTAATTTGTGAGTACAGCTCCTTTCATTTTCTTACCAAAGACTGGAAAACCAGCGGCCCGTATTTATCAGTGTTGTCATCTAAAAGACAGAAGAGCGTATCCAGGACATCTCGCAAGAACTGCAAAGAGAGGGGAACAAAAAGAGCACGTCTCAAAACAAGCATCGCATTAAAGGCTTTACTGCTAACTAAAATAGAAACAAGGACAAAAGAAAAAAGGATAGCCCCGTCATCACAAACATTTTAAAAACATTTCTGTTTTTTTCCTGACACGCTAATGTGACCGCTCGACAGACCAGCTCAACGCAATTTCTCTAAATACTACAAAAACTTTACGTGTATTTTGGATGCACACAAAGAAATCCTACTCCTTAATCACAACAACACAATATTTAGCAAATAAACAAAATAAAATCATAACAGGATAATAAAACAAATGATCTTCAGATATTGTCAAAAAAACTGAACTCAGTAAAGCTACAGTTACAGAAATAATAACCTTGACAATCTCCTCCCCGCTGATTTGGCGTAGTCGACCGAGGATGTCCAACACCCTGTCTGGGTGGGCCTTCCAGTTAAGAAGAGCCAGAAGGTCCACTGAAAGAAAGAAAGCCAAATAAGCTGACCAGGAAGACACAGCATGGAAGAGCAGCATGTATAAGGTGGTAGATTACCATTTTGTGTTAGTTTGGTGGAGCAGAGTATCGTAGAGACCCAGAAGGTTTCTTTGGGGCTTCTCTGGAAGGGCAGGTTAGCAGGTAGGTTGGGGCAGCTGTTAAAGTCCTCCTTACAGCAGGGCAGGCTCAGATAAAGGCCCTGGTTGCTGAAGGTGGCGTTTTCATCACACTAGAGGATTGAAATGGAACAGTAAGAGCTGGACACACACATGTGGACAATTAATATTTAATGAAAGAATACTGCAGCAAAAAGAGCTGCAGTTCTAGTCAATAACAGGGTGGCTGTAGCTGTGGCTTCTGGCAGCTGTTGCTCAGAAGGTCGAGCGGGTTTTACACTAAACATAAGGTACCCAGCTCCTCCAACTTCCATGTCCTTGTGTCCTTGGGCAAGGTACCAAACCCCCCAAACTGCCCCAGATTTATCCATCAGAATATGTGCATGTTAGGAGAAGCCCTGCGTGTATAGTATAAAAGCTCTATGTGAATGTGCCTTGTATATGTAGCGTATTTAGCAAAATATCAGTCAAAAATGGTAAATGGGAAAATGAATTTGGCTCTTCTCTCTGGGAGCAGTAAAAAAAAAACCCAGCCAAGTGCCACACTAGACCTCGGTGTTTCGCTCAGTTATTTATATAATTATGTTTTAATGTGCTAAGTACACATGCATGATCACATATCAAAAACTGACGACATGTCAGGCAGCTAACAAGGATGAGATATTGCATAAAGGCAGGACTTTCACTCGTGTATGAGTCACCTTCTACAGCTGCTGCAGAGCACCACATGTCTGCAGCATCTTACCTTGTACACATACAGCTCATGACTCTCATCTGAGAGTGTGGTCCCATCCTCTCTCATCAGAGGAGTGAAGGCAAAACCAAACAGTTTTTTCTCCCCTTTGTCTTTAGCTGAAAGGAAACACATCACAGTATCCTGAATCATATACTTAACTATGCTGCATAAACCTTGCATACTGTGAGCAATCATCCGAATAAACGTGTGTACTGGGGGTGCCACTGGGTTGCATTACTGACTCACTGGAGCAGTGTCTGAATTCAAATCGTAGGTGGGAGCCTCTGAAACGGTCTATAGGAATGGGCAGCTTGACCATCTCACTCCAGCGAGGACTGTTGTTGTGATACAGGACAAACGAGCGATATTCAGAGGTGTTAGGCTCCCCACTGCCTAAACTGATGCAATCCTGCAAAAAAAGCAGACTTGCTGTAGTTCATATACTGACGATATGGCACGTATTAACTCATGTGCACATGCGTCATACTTTGAGTGTGTCACCGTCGGCGTAGAGCACATAGAGCGTGACTTCGATGTTCTTCTGGACACTTTTGCCGCCCCTCTCAAACTCCCCCCGCTCCAGGGTCAGATACAGGTCGTTGCGTGTGTCACCTAGGAAAATTAAACAGCCCGAATTTTACTTAGAGGGGAAATGATTTCACAGATTTGTCAGAGAGAACGCTGCTGTTCGTGAGAGAGAGAAAAATGATGAAGCCTTTTGTGGCTCCAGAGGGACTTTTGAAAATGTGACTGCCTCAAGTAAGATCACTTTGAGGTCAGCTGAGTATGAAAAAATAATCTGGAAGTTTGGAGTTGGAAAACAATTAATCTGCATTAGGAAGGCAAAGACATCTCTGAAATTCCCCAACTACGACAACAACCCTGTCTCCAGCCATGTTCATGCGAGCCTCTGCTCCACAGAGGAAGTGTGAGCGGTCAACATAAATTAAGCCTTCATGTGGACTTGAATGTGCACTGTATGTCGCACTCTCCTCAATGCAAAGTGACCCCACTGAGTTGCAATAAACCAGCTCATGACTGCCTCAGCACCTTTTGTTCGGTCAGAGTTTAATGAAAGAAATATCAGTAGCAACAGTGCATGCAGATATTGCAGTTATTTATAAAATCAGATTATAGTTATTTATATCAAGTCATTTCCTTGGGGACAGATGACTCACAAGGAGTGATATTGGGAGGTATTTCAGGCTAACTGGAAATAAGCTGGAGAGGGGAGGAGAGGACAGGATTATGCATTCTCAGTAGACACAAAGCACTGCAATGTCAGCTGATGAAATATTCCGAAATAAACACACTTCTCCCTTTTCTCTTTCTTTGAGTTATCTTTAAAGACCTCTGCTCTTTAAAATCTGCTCTGCACCTGACCTACATGCTGATCTCGCGCAGAGAGAGCGAAGAACGTAGAGTCTACAAAACACCAGGAGTGGAAAAAGTACTTTGCAGTGGCAACAACATAGCATAACGCCATTTCAATTAAAAGTTTTACTTACTTATTATGTAAGTTCAAGTACACAGAGAACACAAGCTGAATGTACTTGGTATAAAAGGGAAAGTCTTTTTCCTGCAAAAAATTGTTTTTGTGTGTCACGCGTATAGACTCACTGGCCACTTCATTAGGTATACCTTACTAGTACTGTACATTACCCATTTTTACCTTTAAAAGAGTCTGAATTCTCAATGGCCAGGTTTTCCACAATCCAGCGTTGTGGAAAACGTTCTTCAGAGAAAACGTTCTTCAGAGATTTTGGTCCATATTGACATGACAGCATCACACAGTTGCTGCAGATTTGTCAGCTGCACAATGATGTAAATCTTGCATTTAAGCACACTTCAAAGGGGCTTTATTAGACTGAGATCTGGTGACTTTGGATGCCATTGAAGTACAGTCAACTCATTGTCATGCTTGGAAAAACAGTTTATGATGATTGATGTTTTGTAAAATGGTGCTTCATCCTGCTGGAAGCAGTCAACAGAAGATAGTATACACAGTGGTGATAAATGGATGGACATGGTCAGCAACAATACACAGGCAGGTGGCGTTTAAATGATGTTCAGCTGGTGCTAATGGCCCAGAGTGTGCCAGGAAAATATCCCCCACGCCATTATGTCACCACCACCACCATCAGCTTCAACTGTTGATACAGAACAGCACGGATCCGTGCCTTCATGTTGTTTTGGCCAAATTATAAGAAATTGACTCTCATTAAAACAAACAACATTTTTTGTGATCTTCAATTGCTTGTTTTTGGTGTGCTTGTGTGAATTGTTGCCTCAGTTTACTGTTCTCAGCTGACAGGAGTGGCATGTGTGGTCTTCTGCTCCTGTAGCCCATCTGCTTCAAGTTTCATTATGTTGTGGGTTCAAAGATGATCTTCTGGATACCTTGGTTGTAGCATGTGCTAATTTGAGTTACAGGTGCTCTCCTGTAAGTTCAAACCAGCCTGGCATCAACAAGTCTGAAGAAGAATAAGGTTATCCTCGTTCTCTGTAAAAAGTGGGCATGGCTTTGTGGGAAAACCTCCGTAGACTGGCAGTTTCTGAAATACTCAAAAACAACCATGCCATCTTCACCTAAATCACATTTCTCACCCATTCTGATACGGAGTTTTTCAGCAGATCATTATGACCATGTCTGTACACTGGGTTGTCGTTACATGATTGGCTGATTAGATATTTCCGTTAACATGAAGCAGAACAGGTGTACCCAACAAAGTGGCCATGGAGTATATAACATTAGATTTGTAATCCGCTGGTTTTAACTATTTTATACAGAGAGCTTCAAACTCTCTAAGCAGGGAGGGCTACAGTAGAATCATCTCTAAACAAAGATTACTTAAAGACTCCTGAAATGTGATGCAAGCTCACTGATTTCATACACTTTGTACAAGCGCTATGCTTTATAAATTGTACCATATTCTAAAGTAAAGTCCTGATAAATAGTACAGTCATTCTTCTGTCAGCTAAACCACCTACAGACATCAGCAGGAAAAAGTACAATGATATGTGGGGGTACCAAGCAGTATCAAATGAAAATGTTCTACCGTAGTGCAAGTACCTTAGTGGAGTACTGGAGTAAATGTACTTACTGTGTTATTTTCCACTAGTGCAATATGCTACTCACACCTACATGTTTTCCAGTCTCTATCCAGATTGGAATAGCTATAATAACATGCCTGTAAACCGAGCAACATGACCATTCACGTATATTGGCATTCATTTGCCGGTGTACACACAAAGCAAAGGGTTGGTTTTTGGTCTAATAGTAAGACTGGAGAGTTCTTTGCTTGGACCAGTAATGAGGTGGAACTGTTCCTGTATATTTGGAAAACAAAGATAATCAATTGCCAGAGAAGGACAAGACAAGAATTACCCATAAAGGATTAAACAACTGAAGGTGTGTGAGCCAAGCTAAAACCTTTTGGATTAATTTATGTGACTTATAACATCCAATCAGGAGGCGAATGTCAAGTTTTCTTTGCTACCTGCTCAGATGATTTTCGCTTTTTGATGCTCTAGTGGATGCCAGGCATTAAAACAGTAAAGGTTGCATGTAGTTAGATGTTTTAACAGTTTAAAGCTGAGGCTGTACACTGAACTTCTCTTTGTCCATTATAGCCCTCTACTTTTTGCCTCCTTACCTGGCAAGATGACATCTGGGAAACCCAGTTTGCGTGTAAGTGCCAAAGCCCTGTTGAACACAGCCTGGTTCTCCCGTCTGATTTGCTCCAGCTCACCTCGCAGCAGCTGCAGGGAAATGATGAGGCCTGGAGGCAGGGGCAAAGGGATGGTGGGCATAAATGATCGTGTGTAAATTGGGAAAAGGGCAAATGAAGAGGTGTGAGGTCGTGGGTGGAAATCAGAATCGAATAAAAGACAGCACAGGGACAAAGAAGAAGAGAGATGTAAGAAGGGAGGGACAGAGGGGTATTTAAAGGACATTAGTCAGAATGTGCGGGAGGAGAAGACAGACAGAAGAGTGAATGGAGAGACGTGATCAGAGCCAGAACATAAGGAGGGAGGGAAAAATTGGGTTCTGGAATTACACAAAGAATCGAGGGAAAATATGGGTTTTGCACAAATCCGGGGACGTATTATTGTGAGGCTTGAGTCTTAAATAACCTATGAGATACTCATAGGGAGAGATGTAACAGTGAATTATGAAAGATCAACCCTTACAGTCTCTCCACTTTTCAATATTTCACAAAGCAAGACGGTTTAACGAGACTCGAGGCGATCTTTTGAAAGCAGAAAACAAATTGGCTGAGTTGCATGTGCTGCATGTGTTGCATACAGTTGAATATAAAGGTCTTTTGTTTTCATTAAGAAGTTTATAGTTAAACAGACCCATTTTTAAGTACAGTTGTAAAAAAGTTACAGATAAAATTGTCCAAAAAACCCCCATAAAACTAAGTTTAAATAAAACTGGGACACCAGAGCCCATTTAGAACAGACCGAGGAGTCCTGTGAGCCGAATCACAGGACAGTTTTCCACTGCCCACTAAATTGTGGACAACTCTGGGTGTCTGTTTTAAGAGGAATGGGTATTAGCAAGCTTGTTATCAGTGCACAATTAGATAGCCAGAATATGTGGAGGTATATTTGTGCACACTGGAAGGCTATAGACAGCATGCCATTCAGTTGTTATCGTTAAGGAAAAGCCTTCTTGATTCAGCAATACAATGCCAACATAGATTCTTCTCCACAATGAAAGATTCCCAGCGCTAAACTGGCCTCCTTGTAGCAGTTGACCTGTCAACTACTGAAAATATTTAAAATATCACAAATCAGAAATACAACAAATGAAGTCCCTGAAAAGCTGAAATATAATATCAACAGTCTGCTTTCAAAACACCAGCAATTTGTCTTGTCAGTTCCCAAACACTTACAGAGTTTTGTTGAAAAAAAGAAGTGATGCAACGTGGTGGTAAACATGCCCCTGTCCCAGCTTCAGAAATGTGTTGTTGGCTTCGAGATGAGCTTAATGTTCTTATTTTTTCTCTTTTTTAAAAAAATGTGTGCTGTTTGTTTACAATTTTGAATTAAATATGGGAAGTTTTGTTATTGTTTACATCTAACTAGCTTTTTTTGGAAACAAGGCTATATTTGTATTTTTAATTTAAAGAAGAAAAGAAAAACAGAGGTGGAAATTTAATGGGAGATCAGCAGAAACAGCATATTTACCATAGTTGGTGCTGGGGGCTGAATACTTGGTGTTAGACTTGCGGATGATGTTCTCATGTACCTGGTACCATTCGTTCTCATTGTTACATCTGGAGAGAAAGACAGTTGGGGAAGGCTGTTAACAACACACCCATCAGAGGGTCCAGATGGATGGTTCAGGACTGTGTGTATGGGGACTGCACGAGCAGCATGAGTCCCAGAGCCGATTTCCTCCTGAAGAAAAGGTAGCAGCAGGGGGAGGTGCTATCAAGCAGCACATTAGCCGAAATGCACAGCGCACTAAGCAAACCTGACAGTCAGCTCTCTACCAGCCTTTTTCATTACTGTGGGCCCAAAGGCCCCTGGGAAAGGCATGGGGAAATGCACATACTAGAGCGATATAAGAGCCGACAGTTTGGAGGCAGCTCAGCACTGAATCACTGCTTCCTTTTTAAAGGGAAGGGATCTTTGTGTCCACCGAGAAAGCCAATAAAAACGGCGGTTTTCTATTTGAGAAATCTTTATTTCACACTGAGCTGCTGTATGGTACTCCACAAGAAAAACAGAACGTAACTGGATGGCAAAGTGTAAAGACGATCACTGACCGGGAGCGAGCTCAGAGAAGGACAGTGCAGATACGAGGAGACACTCTAACTGTTGACTGACAAGAAAATATGCTGAGCGTGGCGTTATTTTTGCTTTGTCCTCTATCTTTGCTCAATTATCTATGTGTCATCTCTCTCGGCCTCTTCCCCTCTCCTTCTCTGTGTCTCCTTCCTTCGCTGGGCTGGCTGGTGTACAGGAGTGTCTTTCTGTGGCAAAGCCTAACAGAAGCAGCCAGATTCACAACATGCCAAGTGCCCTATCTCAGGCCCAGGGTGAGAAGCTATTGATTTTCCAGAGGACGCTTCATTATCATTCTGGTCAAAAACACACCAAGCATCAGCAGTGTAACACTAGGTTGTCATGCTCAACATTTCGAGAACATTTACAGATTCCTGCTGCTCCTCACAGACTCGTTAACCCTATATTCACAAAAGCAAGAAGTCTTACAGCAATGAAAAGGCTAAGCAGAAGGAGAAGAAAAAGAAAAAGAAGAATAGCTTCAGTGGTATATTTACGTATAAACTTTGAGCACAAAGTCCTTCTCCTCTTTGAGGTCGGTGATGGTGTGGAAAACATCACTCATGGCAAGTACAGCGCAGCCATAAGGTCGCCTATACTGCACATGCGGTGGGCCTTTCTTTGAGTCATTCAGCAGCATTCGGCCTGTAAAACAAACAGAGAAATAATTTGCTAAGAAGAACCACTAAAAAGTTATAACCATGAGTAAGACGTCATCATACACTTGTTATTTACCCGTTCTTATGACATGTGCAACAATGTACAGGTCTCTCTTCAAGTCTTTGCTGCTTAGGTCCTACAGAGAGGCAGGAAAACAAATGTTAACAGATTCAAGAAGGAACAAAAAAGTAAAAAAAAAGTACAAATATCTTACCGTGAAGAGAGCACACAGGCGATCAACCTTCTCTGGATTCTTTGGTCCTCCATTTTTGTTCAGTTTCACCATGAACTTTTCGCTGCAAACGAAGCCAAATCACAGTTTCAGAGTGTCTGACAACCACAGAATGCCTCAATCTGCTGGGCAGAGACTGTGTGTAGATGTGTATGTATGTTTGTGCTCTTGAACAGACACAGTTTGTACTTTACTGTAAGCCCATTCAAGGCTGTTATGTGCGCGCTGAGGCTCCTCGGTGTACCTGATCTGTTTGGCCTCGCGACTGTCGTACAGAGAAAAGAAGACGTCTGCATCCTCGCTGATGCTGTTGTAAGTGAAGCTCTTCAGGTTGATGAAGAGGTGGTGCGACACAGGGACACGGCAACCGTCACCATGGCGCTGTCTTATGCTATCACCCTGAGAACGAAAAAGAAAGTGACCGCTCACAAGACCACACTGCAAGCGAGGCCAAATACCTGCCACTCTGTATATAGATATGTTTATTAAACAGATCAATGGAAGTATTGAAACTGTTGAAAAATTCATAAATAAGCTTTACAGTGTTGTAACTAGAGTCTATTTATAGTGGAGTCAGTAGAGATGAACGATTTCATCCCAATTAGGATGTGAAAAGATGAACAGAGTGATGGAAAATTGGTGGCTTTGCTATAAGGGAGGGTGCAATATCCTGTGTTTATATAATGTATAAGTTTAACAATGAAAAGATGCATATGTGAATGCACAAAATCCACAAAGTTTATAAGACCTCTGAAACTCACATATTTACTTGTTAAGCTAAAGTGCGCTTACAAGAAGACACTGTGCTTTTACTGTGCTAACAGCAGTTTATGCTTATGTAAATCTTTATAGCTATCGCACTAGTTTCGCTCTTCTTGGGCCCAAAGCCAGACAGACTTTACAGCGCATCCTCAAACAAAATGCAACGTGTCTTTAAAATAGTGTTCCCACACGAGAGAAAGCTATGATATGGCCTACAGCACCATTTGTGCATGCACTGGGACATATGTGATTCCAGTGGGAACCAGTCCTCACACCCTGGCAGTGTTGGTGTCAGTTGGTGTCAGGTTCTCACCAGTATTATAGGCACCGAACACCAAAGAGTCTAAATGTGATAGCCTTAGTGCCAGAGCAGTGGCCTGACTTCAGGACGCTCATTTGCGACAGAGTGTTTGGAAAAGAAATGAAAAATGAGATGTGCTGATGAAAAATGAGCTGTGACGTGTTCGTGATCACCACTGAAATGGCCGTACCTGGTTTGTGCTTTGCTGACCACAATGTCTGCTGGATACATGCTAAAAAAGTTCAGAGGAAAAGATGTCAGATCAGTGAGTCCATTGTTGTTTTTTCATCCCACACAGCTTTGAACTTATTTACCTTACAGGAGCTTCAGACAAACACCACCTGAGCGATGCCCTGGTTGATGCTTCAAATCTGACAAAATTTCACCTACGTACATTGCCGAGTGGCTACGCTAGTGTTCCTGTAGCGCTAAAAGAAGCCCACATGAGGCAAAACGTGAGCATGTGGGAGAGAAGAGGACAAAGCCAGTATCGCCCACACACCCCCCGTCTCTGCTCAGCAGCCTAAAAGAACTCCTCTACTCCCATCCTTCAGGAGGTGCCAAGGTCTTGTGCCCTGCCAAAGACAAGCTCACTTTCATCGACAGAGTCAGGAGGCTTTCTGGCAAGGAAGACCTGCGCTGTTGTTTCTGGACAGAGCATTTAGTGCACAAACATTCAGCGTGCAAAGCTGAGAAACATGGCAAGGGGATAATGGGAGGCTGCAGGGCAGTTGGAGAGTGTTTTCATCAGCATATGGTGCTTCAGCCACTGAAAAGAAAGGATCTCCCTCCCAGATAGCAGTCTCCAGCAGCATTACATTAGATTTCGTAACATCTGTGCTGTAATCACACATTTCTAAAATTGGATCTGCTTCAGCAAGTCTCCTCTGTGTGTATAGATTTGGAAGTCCCACATCACTACAACTAAAGCACATTTGAGACATGACTTATTCATGGAAATGTGTCTCTGGTCTGGTTCTTGGCTTAAAGCAAGCAAGACTTAAATCTGCAATTTATTTTTAAAAAATAACAATTAAATATTCATTTGCATGTACTGTACTTTTCCCACAGCCTCACCTGGGCCTGTCACTTTGCATTATGTATGCATTACTAGTTAGATTACAGCATTACAGTCACGTGCATGTAAGAAAAGGGACACATTCAATATGGCTGTAAAATAAGCATAAAGAAGAAGTCACATGACGCAGCTCCAACAACTGAATCGTGCAGTCTCTGGTGAGTCACCTTGCTATGGATGATTTGATAATCGGTACATTCACACATCACTACAATAACACAATCCTATCCTATATGGAAAAACAGCGTGTGCAATGGCAAAAAAAAAAAAAAAAAAAAAAAGCGCTCGGTAGGTAAAAAAGGATAGAGTGCAAAACAGTGAGTCATGCCTACATATATAGTTTATCCATGCTGCAGGGACACATTTAATTGCATTTTATCATCCAAAGAATACAAATGCACTGCACTGACTTATTCTGTTTAATAATTAAAGGGATGTGTTTGTACAGCGTGAATTGGTTCAACAATATTTCCAGCCAACATACCAGTTTGTATAGCTCTGATACGCTGATCTGATCCGGATCCACCATTTCAAACTCTTTTCTGGGAACAAGGTCTAAGCCAAGGTGTCTGATGGGAGAGGGATTTGGTGTGAGTAAAGAAAAACAGAGGGGGAAAAGACATTAGAGGTTTTAGCTCAAATGAAACAAAGGTGTCATATCACCATAATAAAATCTGCAAACATTCCTTAATAACAGTGGTTCTGAGTGCACACCACTTACTCCACAATTTTCATCAAGTTGAAATTTACCTGAAACTTAGCATAATAATAGTCACTATAAATCCATATAAAGCTCACGAATAAATCCAAACAAAACATACTCGGGAACATTAAATAGCAATTGCTAAGATTGCTAAGCGATTGCCTGATTTGTTACAGATTTAGCAGCTAATTTTCCTCATGTGAATCTTGGTTAGCTGACATAAATATATACAGTACGGAGCAGAAATACACAAGAGAAACACCTGCCCTTAACCATTTTAACCCAAATAAACCATATACTGTGTACAGGTTGGTGTATCACCCACACAGAATAAAAAAAAGTTAATTTTTTTAAGGCTACAGCACCACATCCAGCAGACAATATTAGATCATTTTATTCCAGCAGTTCAGTAAGACATTTCTGTCATCCCTGGAAACCCGTAGTAGAACGAGGATTTATGGGTTTGAATGGTACTTAACCACTCAACATGAGTTTGCATTATAGTAACCCACTAAAGGGGTTAAGAACAGTACTGGAATAATTGTGCTCTGTTGCCAGGTACAGTTGTCTCATGTGGTTGCATCTCATACTGTAACTCTTGACTTAAGCAAAACTGTGCAGCCTTAACTCGTGAAGCACTCTGCGCGGACCATGAAATTAGATCACTGCAGCTCTCAGATCAGCATGCACCACACACTGACCTCAACTCGCATGATAAACGACTCCATACTTTAAGAGTTTGTATATTTGATTCCAAGCACGATATGCACAAATATTGACCAAGTAAAGTTGTTTAAAGTGAATTTTATGACCAAAAATCTCTAAATCTGTTTTTAAACTGACAGATTTTCCCTCCACCTAGAGCTCTTCCTTGGCTGAACTGAAACCCTCGCATCATTATTTCTGTTATGGATGCCTGTCACAGCTCAGTTGGAAGGGGTTTGAAACTGGCAACAGCAAGAATATGGCTTTACAGTTCCTCCGGGGGGATTTGCATTGACTTTAAGCTGCTTCAGATTCACTCATCTGCTAAATGACCATAAAATTACATCACAGCAATGCTCTTACACACCCACTCATCCACTGTGGCAGATCTCTCCAGTGTCATTTGTATTTATTTTTTTATTCTTTGGTGGCCAGTAGTTTGAAACAAATGTTTGCTTTATAGCATGACTTCGCTTAACCCACTCTCTTAATCTCAGTGCACTCAGTGCGAGTGTTACTCACTCATTGCCCCAGTCAAGCCGTACGGTGATGTGGCGCTTGATCTCGCGAGTCTGGTCTTGGGCGAGGTGACCCTGGATCAGCTGCCGACGAAGGTCAATGAGCTCATTCATCACATGGCGCAGTTTATGGAATAGATCTACCTTGTGTTTCTGTATTTAAAGAAGGCAAAAAAGTTAGGTTTGGGATATACAAATTCACCAAAAAAAACAAGAGATTAAAAACTCTCTCTCCATGGGTCTGAAATAAGAATTCAGTGATTTCATTTTACATTCAGGCCAAACAGGAGATCAAGACAAAATCATGCTTTGAATCCAGGCCTCTGCCAGCCCGTGCAGGCTGCAGAACAATATGTGTTGCAACTGAGTTTCAAGCCCACTGGTTTTGTTAATGAAACGGGGAAAAAAAATACAGTTCCCTCACAAATCTGCTTTGACCTCATCACAGTAATGAATTTCATCACCATCTCTCACGGACCAAGAACAACAGTTTTAATTCAGGCATTCTCTGTTCTCCCTAATGGTATGACAAGCCCACATAACCACCCAGGTTTGTTTACATAAACGCAAAGATTAAACACCACTACGATGCCAATATAAATTTAATGAGGATAAACACTACATGCTTTCAAAGGCTGGTAGCTGCTGAAAACAAAGATTTTTGTCAGGGTTGATGAGCCCTTTCAGACTGCTATTTACGTGCATTATAATGGATACACAGCTATGCTTAGGCCATTGCTCCCGGAAGTAATACCATGAATTCTAATTGGCAACAATAAGGTGAAATGTATCAACATCTAGCCAATGCCGCATCCTACAGGGGGGTGAGCACCAAAACCAGCACTGTTAAATCAGGGCTTCATATTAGTCGAGCTTCAGAGGAAGTTACATCACCACTCCAATGCCGGAGGCTGCTTAGTTGCTCAGAGCATGAGCAGTCCTCAGTGAGAGGTTATGTAAAAACTCGTTGCCTGTTCTGCAACATAGCCGCTCAGCTCCCGAACTCAAAACCCTACCAACCACTTCTGCCTGCCCCCTCGACACTTAGCAGGATTAAGGATGCTTTAGGTTTCCAGTAATCACTTTTTGCCCGGCAAAGTAAAGGCTGAGTGAAGGTGGTGGATCTTAAGAAAGGCAGGCCAAGATCAATAAATGGCAGAATGACACAGCATGAAATTGCATACGACAGGTCTGTAGGCCATTATCTGTGTCCAACCACCATGTCTGTTCTACATAGATAGTACATGAAAATACAGGGTGACAGTCAGAACGACATGGAGTGGAGAAATATCTTAAGGAGATGTCGCAGGACTATATTTCTAGCGAATCACTACTTCTGTCGGCAAAACCTTATTTTACCAGGTGTTGAATTGTGAGCAGGAAAGAAAACATGATTCCATCAAACCACTTAGGGGAATGCAAATGAAGCAACGGTGGATGCATTTTCTTTGCGAAAGCTGTTTTGTCAAATCCCTTGGAAATCTTAGTAATCTCAGGTCCACACGCACATTTATTGCTTGGTGGTTTGTTTTGATATAAGCAAGATGTACTGTAATATACCGCTACTGACCACATAGAGCTGCTTCCACAAAACGCCCCATTCCTGCAGTGTGGAGGTGGTCTCTGTGATAATAGGGTCCTCGAGGGGTACCACCGTCTCGCACAGCCTACAGCGAAAAAACATGAATTTCAAATCAATCCCTGAAGCATCAATACAACTGGTACAAAAAAATATTCATACTACACAATATGAAGACTCGTCTTAAAATTGCAGCATTTGCCTCTTTATTTTAGAAAAGCTGCATAATGAAAATGTTGTATTTAGCATGAAACTGTGTTTTCAACATATAGTTTTCTTTTTCAGCTGTTCTTTTGTAGGTTTGCTGCTGTGCTTGGGATCATTGTCCTGCTGCATGAGCCCTAGACTCTAAAATACTTTGGTATACAGAGGAGTTCGTGGTCAACTCAACGACTGCAACATACTCAGATTTTGTGGCAAATCCGGTGCGTAATGGCCAAACATCTCCACTTTGGTCTCGTCTGTCCAAATGACATTCTTCCAGAAGTCTTGTGGTTTGCTAAGATGCAGCTTTGCAAACATAAGCCGTGCTGCCATGTCCTTTTTAGAGAGAAGAGACTTTCTCCTGGAAACCCTTCTAAGCAAGCCATACTTAAATATGGTCTGACACTAGGGTGAATTTGCTTGGACTTTCACTCCTGAGACAATGAGCAGCTTTCATGAATGCTTTCTTATTCCTCACTGTACCATGATGGACTCTGTATTGCTTGGAAATGGCCTTATAACCCTGCCCACACTGATGAGTAGCAACGGTTACTTCTTTAAGATCATTGCTGATACCTTTCCTCCTTGGCACTGTGTTAATACACACCTGAATGCCCCAAACCATAAAACTGCAAAAACTTCTGCTTTTACACATTTGCTGATGATTAGTGAATAAAATGCATTTGAGTAGCTGCACCTAGCTGCTACTTAACCTACCAGTAAGGGAGTACTTAGTTTTGACATGCTCTTTATGGATTTTGACTCAATTTTTTCTTGGAATAAATAATAACACAATATAAGATGTCATGTTTTTCTAGCTCATCTCAGATTATATTTATTGTAAGACCCGCCAAGGACCACGTGATTTTTATTATGTTCTGATATGTAAAATCTTAGAGTTGAAAGAGGGTTCACTTTGTTTTACCATGACTGTACATATGATAAATGATTAATAGAGAACAATAAAAAGAAATGCCTCTCTTTTAATAAATTCTTTGGTGTTATCTAAAACATATTCTGAAGTAGGTCACATCAAAGAACATACACTATTTCTATTGTACACTATCAGATTTAAATTATAATATCAGTATGAATACTGGAGATCCTGGTGTTGGTATCACACTGAAACTTAATTTAATGGTATTTCCCACTCCCAGCTGTCTCCAGATTAGCTTAGAAATGGGTGAAGTCACAATTACACATCAATATAACTGTTTCAATGAGGAATTATGTAATTATTCTCTGAATGCAGTTAGGAAACAGGGTGGAGCTAGCCAATAAAAACCATAACACTCATCCTTCTTGTGTGACCACATTCATGGGGAAATATTAAAGCAAAGGTTAGATGCTTGTGAAGCTCTGGCTTCCAACTTTTATACTGTATAACATTTTAGAACAACGCAGGCATCTCCATTCGTTGCACAGTGAGTGGGGGTGATTGTCTGTGGTGGGGATGCTTTGGGAGAACTACACAGATGCAGTAGGTGTGTCAGCTCATTAACTCCATGAGACAGCAAAGCAGATTTCCCAAACTGCAGCTCCTGGAGCGAGGAAGTATAATAATGTCAATTTTGAAGCCTGTACTTTTAATTGTTTCGGTGAAAATGAGAGTTTTCCTGCTATGTGGTAACTCAAATGGAGGATGGTGATATAAGAGCAAACTCCTGATTCACACTGAGCTACAGACACAGAGCTCTTCTGCCTGTTTTTCTCTGTTCCGTTCTGGCCCCGCACACCCATGGCCGGCTATTGTTACCAGATGCATGTAGAGGACTGCAGTGTACAGTGTGTGTGTGTGTGTGTGTGTGTGTGTGTGTGTGTGTGTGTGTGTGTGTGTGTGTGTGTGTGTGTGTGTGTGCGTGCATGTCAGCAGCTGTCAGGTGGTAATTCTCCAGACGATGGCATTGTCACTAATCAGTGGTGAAGCAAAATTAGATGGCAAAGGAGGGAGGGATCTGCATCCACTGACATTGATCAGTTGATTAATCAGTATCACACTGGCTGTGTAATGAGAGAAAGAAAGCTCCATCAACTCTATCAGCGCCAATAGATCTGACCAGTAAAAACAAACATATCACCCTCTTGTCATCCAGCAGTATGTCTCAATAAAGGCCTGATTTTGATGGTGATGGATCACTGCTGCTGAAGTTGTACATAACATCATTGGCAGTGTATTTCGAGCAGCACACGCCCTTCTAAATGAAATTCTCAGTACTGCAAAGGATTTTACTTTAACTGTGTCAACTTAAACATAAAAAAGTCATTTACACATGATGACATGTTTCTTTTATGCAAAAGGTGTTCCTTCACCCTAATTTTAGTGAAGCTATTGGGATTGACGCTGGCAGAAGGGCTTGCCAATATAAATCTGTCAGTCTCTGACACGCTATGCATACCTTTTGAAATGCTCCAAATTAGGCTGAATGAGAGTAAAAAGCACCATAATTATCATAGTGATTGTTTCCAAAACAATACACTTTATCTCTTACTGATGGAGAAAACTCTATAAATCCAATTATGCCACAAAGCAGTCCAAAAAACATAATTAGTTTTATTTACTAGCAGATCAACCCCTTAAAGCCACCCGCTGTTAATAAAAAGACTAAATTGGACTCTCAATTGGACTCTTACAGTGAAAATTGTGCAGGGATTCAAGATCACGTGCAAAGACAAGCAAACAGCAAAGGGAAAAAATAGTTATGCTGTTATAGTTTGATATGTATGCATCCTAATTACAAAGTAGGGAACTTTTTTGCAACTGCAGCTGTTGCTAACAATATTGCTGTGGTCTGGGTATCTTAAAATGGTTTACAGCATTCGTGTCTTGAGGGGCTCGAGGGCCTCGAGGGCCTGTGCTATTACAAGATGTATAATTTAGCTCCGCTAATCTTGCTTAACAGGACTGTTTGGGTGTGATTTGATCACATTTATTTAACAGCTCAGGGAAAATGTGCAAAACACTGCACTACTATTGATGTACACTCAGTGAAATGTTGCTAAACTTTGATTTGGGAAATATGTGGCATTGCTTTATTTCTAACCTCTGCTGGCTGTGAAAAAAATGCATAAAAAGTACTTAAGACAACCACATCAGTTCTACTTTTGTCACAAACATGTCTGCTTTTCTAAAGAGTTGATCAGGAAAATACGCTCACTTGTGTTATGCCTGTATTAACTCCTTGTTAAGCCAATGGTATCAACATAATGCATTTAGACATATAGACATGGTCAAGATGAAGAATGGGGAAAAGGGGATTTAAGTGGCTTTCCATGTGACATGGCTGTTGGTGCTAGACAGGCCGCTCTGAGTATTCCAGAAAGTGCTGATCTACTGCAACTTTCCCAAACACCCATCTCTGAGGTTTACAGAGAATGATCTGAAAAAGATAAAATATGGCAGTTTTCTGGGAGAAAATGCCTGGTGGATGCCAGAGGTCAGAGGCGAATGACCAGACTGCTTGGAGCTGATAGGAAGGCAACAGTAACTCACATAATCACTTGTGTTACAACCAAAGCAGAAGAGCATCTCTCGAATGCACAACACATCACACGTTGAAGCAAATAGGTTACAGCAGAAGAAGAACACCACATCGGGTGCCACTCCTGTCAGCTAGGAACAGGAAACTGAAGCTGCAATTCGCACAGGCGCACCAAAATTGGACATCATTGGAAAACTGTTGCCTGGTCTGTTGAATTATTTCTGCTGTGATGTTCAGATCACCTAAATATGTGAAAGCATGTTGTACCTTGTATCAACAACTCAGGTTGTTGTTGGGGGCGTTATGGTCATGGGTATATTCTCTTGGTACACCTCAGTACCAAGCTGAGTAACGTTTAAATGTCACATAACACCTGAGATACTTTGTTACCTTTTTGCCTTCCACACCCATAGTGCAGCCATCTTCTGATGGCTGATCCAGCAGGATAACGTGTCATGTCAAGTTCAGATAATCTACAACCATTTTCTTAAACTGACATTGAGTTCACTGTACTCAAATGACCTCCACAGTCACCAAACCTCAATCAAGCAGAGAGGTGGTGAAACAGGAGATGCACATCATGGGTGTGCAGCTGAAAAATCTCCATTAAGTGCGTGACGCTATCATGTCAACATGGATCAAAATCTCAGAGAAATGTCTCCAGCTGAGATATTTACGGCCTTTACATAAAGTAAAGTTATGTTTCTGATATCATTTATAATGCTTCATTCTGTTTCATTTGCAAGGGAAAGTCGTCCTGATGAGTTCCTATTTTGGGACAAGAATGCTATCAGCTAGAGTGGACACCCTGTGGTGCAGTTTGAAAATCAGATTTGAGACTGACATTCTGTGCTCTACTTAGGATGCTGCACATGCTTGAATAAAAACACTCAATCATACAGCTTACCCTCTGTTTGTCACTGTAGATTTCTTCAAGTGGACATAGCTGACTGGGAAAATACCCTGTGGATGGAGGACAGAGCAACGATGTTATTGGGTGTGACAGGATTACATGTCTAATTCTCCAGCACCATGTGACCAAACCTATTGTGTTATGTTTGTGTTATTAGGTAGTCTATCCTAAACCGTGTTAGCTGCAGCAACTGGACATTTTTTAATTCATTTTGTTGCTGGCAAAACATTATATGCTGAGAGAAGTGTAATAATTGCTTTACATGTATTTTTACATTTTCTGCTGTGTGTTTAGAATTCCTGTAAAAAGGTGCAGAGACAGGAAGCAGAGCAAAGTGCAGGATACCTATTGTGTGTTGGCTTAGCGGCAGAAGGGCACGAGAGACTGAGTGGTGCTGGCTGCCACCCTTGCAGTTCATATTTCTTATTCTAATCTACCAGATGTGAAGAATTGGCCAGAGTGAGCACAAGTAATTCTCTCAGCTCGGAGAGAGTATGGGGGCGAATAAACGTGGGCAGCGGAGTACATAACAAAATGGAGGGGTGTTAGTAAGAACTGTAAATAGCTGATGAGAGTAGAGAAGGACAGCATGTAGCCACTAACACCTACATTTACCAGGACTGGACAGCATTTGTGTTTTCTTTAAAACACTCCAGCAACACTGCATATTACTTAAGCTTCTGACACTTCATTTTTAAGCAAACTGAGACACAATGAATTGCAAAAATTACCCTCAGCTTTTATCTTTCTAACAGCAGATTTGGTATTTTGCTTCTGATGGCATTGCTTTTATTATGAACATGCAACATTTAGGCAACATTTAGATATCTGCTGTTAGCACAATGAGTTTCCACACTGCTGTGCTGTGGTGAGCAATGATGCTTGCTGAACACTTCCATACTCTATGGGAGGCAGATATATGTTAACCATGTAGTATTGAATTAGTGCAGCTATTGATCTCTCTTAGCTGTGATGGCGCTAACTGTGGTGCATCTACAGCCTCTTCCCACTGAGCAGATAGCAGAGGATTTATCTTAATAATGACGCCGCATGAACAGACTCTCAACAGAGAACTAAGACTTTTAGATTTGGCCTCTCCGTCTCGCCTTTCAGCTGAACTTTCTTTCTATTTGCACTTCTCCCGTGTAAACTATCTGTGATATGGATTAGAATTAAACTGAAGTTATTAGGATTTTTTAAATAGCTTGTTTTGGTAAAATGAAGTTAATAACTGCACCATCTGCTGGTTGAAAGGAAAAAACAATTTGAATCGTCCACAGAATTCTGCTCATGGAAGCCAGAAGCGGTACATATTTTACTACAGCACAGCATATGCATAGAACATATCTATATTGCACTTTTTCTTTTCTCATCATCATATATTCTTTATTTGTGAATAAAACATTAAAGCTGTCATATATCTGCACCATAAAGTCAGAACATCTTGGTTAAAATGTGTCTTTTTAAAAGCACCTCTGGAAAATACAGGTCAGGAATCTTCTATTTTTGTCAAATCAAAGCCATATTCGATAAGTTCATCAGCCATTAAGGTCTTTGTTGTCTAGACACGGTTATTTCTGGTGGTGCACATCTCTCATATCGCATTATCATTCACAAAAAAACGATTAAGGCTTTGATAAAAGCTTCGTGTGGAGCTCACATTCTATTGCAGGGCAGCCATTTTTATAAACGTGTTCATGACACTTGATTTGTCTGCTATAATCTTAACTTTACTAGTCTGCAGTCTTTGAAAAGTGCTGAATTATTAAAGGAGCCCACACTTGCAGAGATATAACACATCGACTGCTAACAGTGTCTTTTTGCCTTTGCATGCAAATAAAAATATGAGTCTTACAATGCCTTATGCTGACCTAATTTCAATGCAGAATAGTGAAGGTATGGAAATTATCACACTATTAAAAGTGATTAAAGATGCTCTAATTACCTTGATAGAAGGCTTCTTGGTAGAGAACCCTCTGTACCAGCCTAAAGAAAGAGGGGAATTCACATGAGAAAGGTTCACCCTCACAAAAAATAACAATAATATAATAAAATGTTAATCTTTCAAGTCTCCATTCTGCTGTGTCTCCATTGGTTTGAAGAGTTTCAAAGTGAAATGTTTTAACTCATGGTCTGGATACTAAATAGTCAATGTAATTACATGAAATAAACAAATCTATGACAATAATATCTAAACTATCAGGCTAGTTCAGCATTATATGCTTTGTAGACTCAAACAATATCAGTTATACAACCGTCTTTCAAAAAATGGTAATAAGGTGTTTAATGTAAATAAGAACAAAATGCAGAGATTTGTGAATCATTTAAAAGCTAACATGCCAGTTTACAAACTGAGACAGTTTATTGGTTTTCACAGTGTATTGAATGTTTTCCAATGACAGATTTGGAGTCACTGAATATTGGTTTTCAGCCTTTTTCATTTTAATGTAAAGAGATTTCTTCAGAGTCACAGAATCTGTTACTAGTAATAGAAATAATCTGGCTATGATACAGTTTTTACATTTGATGTTATCGTAGTTAATGGTTTGCAAGTCAGTCTGTTCAAATGTACTAGTGTTTTTAAGATTTACACAGGGTGCTAACTCTTTTTTATCATTTAAGCCTTTATAGGGCACTAACTGAAATAGCTGTAAATTCAAACTGTCAGCACCAGAGTTTTTGGAAGGTATTATAAGAAGCTTTTTGTACTGTTTTGCAAATTTTTTTCACTGTTTTGTGGAAAATCAAGCTACCATATCTGGTTAATCACCCAATTAACCAGACTAAGGGTTAAAACCGCATCAATGGTATGAGTCAAATTCCTGTTATCTATGTCACTACAGTCTCTAAAAGATAAGCCTCAGAGTTATTATTTTTACTGTTTTTAATTTGAAAAGAACAATTGTTCAGGGAGACAGGAAATCCGTCTGGAACCAAACAACTCTTTATAAAAAGACAAAGTAAAGTGTGCTTCACAACCTTTAGACAGTTAGCATCTTCTTTTAAATTTATTTTGGCAGTATAATGTTGTTTTCTTTCTTACCATCAGATAGTGCTTTGTTTTTTGTTTATTTGGCCCAAAAAGTAGTGACATTACTCATTCTAAAAAGTAAACAGCAAACCCAATAAAAGCACGTAATAATAAACTAGTTTAGATAACTGAAAAGGAATAAGCTCCATTATACATTCAGTGTTGACATAAGAGACCGGGCTGATTTTACCTTCACTCTTTTCCAGGATCTGTACAGTTTCCCCAATCTCCAGGACCAACGCCTGGCATATTGGTGACCGGAAGTTGCAGATTACTGTGCAGAAGGAAAAAAAAACGAATCAAATGATTAGATATCAAGTCATGAAAAAGCATTTAGCCATACAGCACTTTTTAATGTAACTGCTGTTAACAAAAGTCACATCACAGATTTAAGATCTATGCTTGCTTTCATCTTTGTGGCCTCTGATTGAGCAGGGAACATCCCTCTTCACTGTCATGTCTTCACACGGCATGTGTTTTGGGTTTGTATCGGGGCAGTCAATGCATCGCTTTAATAAGCTGTTTAATGCAAACATCTAAACACAGTGTCACACAGGAAGCACAGCTTAGCGAACTGTAAACAAGCTCCCACCCTGAAGTGGGTAGTCATTTTAATAAGCAATTAATTCTTAAGCGACCTGATTTTTTCTTATGTTAAGTTAATTGAACTATCCCAAAAATAGAGCCCACACAAACTGCTAAGTAATACTGCTAAACGGTGATTTATCACAAGTTCTTATTAGCAGAAATCTTTCATGCCACCTGCTTTTTTTTTTTGCTGTACCAGCTTCAGTAACAGCCACTGACTCAAACGCTGATGACATGATTATTCTTTGGGGAGAAGAAGCCACAGTGAAGGCCTTAAAAATTGCATCAGCTCTGGAGCTGGATTTTGTCTCTGCAGCACTGCAGCTCGGCAACATGAGCCACGGAACAAACAGTATACAAGCCCCAGTAAAGACAAACTTGTTTAATAATGACGGCACTCCGCTGATGATTTTAAAAACCTACAAATGGTGGCCCTTCAAGGAGAGTTTGGCGTGAATCATTATGCTAATGAACTAGCCAGGGGAACCAGTGAGGGGGAGGAAGGGAAGGAGGAGCCTGAGCTCAGCTCCGTTGCCTGTTTGAGGATAGCGAGCGCTCAGTTCCTGTGCTGGGGTAACTATGGCAACAGATCATCACAAACTGGAGGGCTTTCTTCACTGTAACTGCTGCAGGATCAGGGCATTTTAAAATGGCAAGCTTATGGATGCTGCATTGCACTAGAGTTCAGATGTATTAGGAAGAGAGATGGGCAGACTCAAAGAGCATCCTTGTCACCTTTTCCGTTCTGCCTCCAGTCAGGGCTAAGTATTTCCTATTTCAGAGTCCTATTCTTTAATGGACTCGATTTCATTTGAATTGCAAAACCTGCACTCACAGCATCTGAAAACTCTTCAGCGGAGGCCACGTCAGAACAAGATGAGATTGTCATGTTAGACAGAGTTGGGCACAGAACGCAGGCTCATATTTTCAAAGTCCTCCCTCACAAAACCTCCAAGCTGTGTAAACACACAGACACACACTTGTTTCATTGTGCCTAAGAGCTGCGGAGCATTAGCATATCTTCAAAACATAACCAACAAAATTCAGCTTCAGACTTCGACATGTTGAACGTAGGATGTTGGAAGGAATGACGGGACAGGGAGTAGAAAATGTTGGCAAAAAGCAAACATTTTCCACTCCGCAACAGTATACCAGCCCAGAATGTCCCTCTATTTAGTTGAATTCATGATCCACATGGCATCTGAGGGCTGCTATTGTGTAACCAGTAAATCATTGGAAGGAATTATGGGGATTGAGCACAGCAGGAGACTCCTGCTGTCCTCTCACCTACATTGTTCCATGTATGACATAAATACATGTCGATTCTTCCATAAGAGCCACCTGGTTTCATTTATTTGTCAGCTATTAAACACATCTTTCTGAAAGTTTAGCTTTGGGAGTCTAGCTTCTAGGTTGTGACTTTCAGAGCTGAGTGAAAGCACAAAAAGGATTTTCATAAATAATTTATAATCAGCAGCAAATGAGTGAAAATGAGCTCATGGCTTTATCATTCTTTCAGAAAGTGTAAGCGCAGCAATTTTCCAGAATAATGAATTCAATCTAAGTTAGAAAGAGAACCGCACAGACAAACGTACATGCTTACTGTATTGCATCAACAGGCGAAAATACAAACTCAAAGCTTTTAAGAGTTCAGTATTCTGTGTTGGCACAGAGAATGAAGACAAGCTGCAGTTGGGTTTCTATGACAGCACTCAGCCTTCATCATAAACACCTCACATGTGACAAAAGAGGCACAATCCTTGGATTATCTTATGCGAAACGTTCCAGCGTTATAGCCGTCAAGCATCACACTGGTCACCTACTACAGAGAATCACCGAGGGGGAGTAGACTCAAATTGGAGAATGTGAATCACGCCATCGTGAGAATCGTGAGACTCGCTCACACTTTTCCTCTGTCGGGCCATTACTTTCTAACTCACTTCTTTTCACCAGCAGTGCTGTCACCAATGGTGTGTAGGAAAAAGGCTAATATAATCAGAAAATGTGGGAACAGACTCAGCGTGGTTTTTGAAATAGTAAGCTGACTGCATGAGTGAACACCAAAGTCCCCCTTGACTCAATCCTGTAGTGATGAAGTGTAAAAGGGTCTTTCAAGCAATGATTGCAGATAAATGTGGCAATTGAGAACCCCAAACTTACAACCCATCCACATCTCCACAGTGTTAAAAGAGAGAATTGTAGCACCACAAACACTTTGCCGAAGTCAAAGCGTTTGTCACGTATCAGATTTGGATCAGCTAAGCAAACACCAATACTAATGAAGAGGTGTAAATCCAGATTAAAAGAAAGGATAGACTCTTTTAAAGCAAACGTATTTAACTCTTGCTGTTTTAAATTCATTGTAATACACTGAATTAAATGAACAATTTTCCACTGAGTCTGAAACTTCAGGGAGGTTAAAATACCCAAATCCATTTCTACTAGTTGTGTAGAAAACCGAGAATTATGATAAAAATGACTAAACATTAACAGACCATTAAACATGAAAGAAAAACGTGCTGTGAAACAATGCAATAGAAACAGCAGAAACAATGATTAAAAGTTAAATATCAACAGATATTTTTATGTGAAATTGGCACATTCCAGAAATATGGATGCTGTGTTTGGAATTTATTCGTTTCTCGGTGATGCTGTTTGCTTGTCCATTTGCGTTAAAAAACAGTAAGTCACATTTAGAGTTTATCTGCTATCAGTGACATTACTAGCTGAGATGACAGGATATGCACTCCGTCCATAAAAATATTTTACTCTACACGCTTGTTTAGCATCAGTCTATTGTGTGTTTGTTTAAGTCTCATCTTTGACCTGTTTTCCTTGTCTACCCTTCTCTTTCCTGTTACTCCTGAGACATGTCTATCTCTGAAATAAAATCAATTCTCCCTTTGTACAACAGACGAAGGAGATGTTTGTATTGCTTCCAGTGTAAACACTGACTGTTGCTGTCATGTGCTGAAAAATGTTTCACTGCTATATGTAATAGAGTGACGTTTTAAACAGAGCCATATGGCCTTGCTTGAGAAGTAGTGATAGACACATACAGTGCCTAACTGCATGATGGCCCGCAGGGGAGAAATATTCTGCAGAGAAGGTGGTAATGCCATCAAAAACCTGCCAGTACAACAGTAAACACTGTTATGGATTATAAATTGTCTGCTGTATTTTCAAACAACTGAGTGCTAATGGCACCACTGTAGTGAGAAATGCTTTATCAAAGAGGACACTGTGCACATCTATGCTGCAGTGATGGCGTGAACTTATTTACATGTGTTTCCTTTTGCCTTTTAGTTCCAGTGAGCCATAACAGGTAGAACGTATGCACACTGTGGAAGTCCTGCTTTCCTGGATTGAATAGTCCTGTCCCAGATCTCTGGTAAGTTAAAAATTACACAATGGTCTTTGGGCTTCGCCCACTGAGTCATGGAGTTCAGCACGACTTGAATGCACACTCACTTGCTGAGACACATTACTGCACCGAAGTCTTGCCAACCAAGCGATTTCTGCCACAGAGGCAGAGGAGCATTTCACTATATCTGCTTCCAAATTAGTGTCCCAGAAATCTAGCCATGCCACCCAACTGCAGGAGTGTGTGTAACTTTTAAATTCCTGTGTACACAACTGTCACACCATTTATTGCTAGTGACAAGTTAGCAAAGCGACAAGACAGGAAACGTAATAATGATAAGCTGATCCTGTGGCCGTGATGAAACGAGCTTGCTAAACTTTCCACTGCAGATATAGGAAGGATGGATGAAACTGGAGAAATGCTACTTTGGGCGGATGTCTGTAATCCCACTGTCAGCTGAACATTATCTCTGTCTTTTATTCTGTCATGAAAACATTTTATCCTAAACTTGTCTGTTTCAGACGACGGCCTTGACTGCTTGATTATTTGGTGCTTTGCATCTGAGCCACATCCATGTAGCCACAGATGAAGACATCTGATTCATTTCTCATGTGGGCAGGTACTGACTTGCAGTCTGAGCTCTTTCCAATTAAAATGTAAAGGAATATTGCTGCCTATATGAGAAAAATCCATCAGTGACTCATTTGTGCACAAGAAAAAGGAACATTTTCAGCTTGTAGGAAGAAAAGATTTCAAGAAAACTAATTTTAGGCTTGTGATTTAACAGTAATCATTTCAATATTATGTTATTGTGTTATTTTTAACTCCTGGCATCCTCAGAGTTATGTTATATCACAATGTTTTAGCATAATGGCTTGTATTTTTAGCTACTTTTGACAAACTGAGAACTAATTCCTATCTGAAAAACAAGGCAAATTATTACAAACGTAACTGTGCATTAGGATAAACTACACTGGCCATTTTAAAGTTAGGGTAAACAGCACTAGCAGATATAGAAACAAAAATTTCCGACATAAACACAAACAAAAACCAAACAATGCGGAGGCCAGGATTGTAAGAAAGCCATTAACGTTTCATGAGGGGTCTTCAGCTGCCTCCTTTTAAATGGAGCCTGTGAAGATAACAGAAAAAAGAAAGGCCCGGTTGGCTGCTGACGGACCACATCTCTGTTTCATATCTGCGCATGGTAATTTGGGTAATATGAGAAAATATTACACGCAGTGACATAATAAGGCAAGAAGATAGGGGGAAAATGCAAAATGGTGCCACTAACACCACAGATGAGGCAGGAGAGGGACTGATAGCAGGCTTTTGGGGCTGTATTACCATTTATCGCAACAGTTCAGCAGCGTGGGCTTCATCTGCAGTGATGCCGGAGAAATACTGAACCTCGCGAGCCAGCATGTTGTCTGAGGCAGAGGGGGGATATTCACCGGAGCGATGTGTTCAGCTTTCACAAGGTACAGTGTGTACCGAGTAGGTACACGGTGGCTCTGCTTCCCCGCATTTCAGCACCGTGGACAGCGTCATCTCCAGATTCCAGCACCACGGACAGCGCCAGGTCACTCCGCACTGACTGGCGCGTTGGCTGCGCCGAACTGTTGCTTCCACCCCCCCCCCCCCCCCCAACACAAAACTACCTTCTCCTCCCCTGTTAAAACACCCCCCACCCCTAGATGTTTGCGCTTGGAAAAGTACTGCAGTGATTTCTGCGATGGACGGAAGGATGGAAGAACACGGGGACGATTAGATGCAGCAGCTGGAAGTGGTGATGTTATGGTAGGGCTGCCGCTTGGGGTTCTCCGCCTGCGGTCTTTCTGAAACCATCATGACCAACGCAATGCCTCCAAAAAAAGTGTATATGTGTGGGCGTGTGTATGAAGAGGGGGGGGGGGGGGGGTATCATGTGCGACTCAGTACGAGTAGCCCTACAAGTATAAGAAGCAGCAGAGCATCTGGACATGACTCATTCCCCTAATGAAAACCCTCTGTAGTGTATTCTCGCCATAGTCACTTCGGGACTCAACAGTCAATTTATAAACACCTTCCGGGATCTTGTGACGGCATTTTTTGCATCCACTGGTTATTAAATCGTGTACAGCTCGCTTTTGTTCTCCATAAAATGTTGTCATGAGCCCAGGATGCTGCTCAAAGTACACGCGCACACACACACACACACAGAGAAAATGTAAAGAGTGGTACTTTGCAGTCCCTGCTGCTGCGGCACCAAGCACGTCAGTTTTATTGTTTTTGGGGGGGTTGTGGGTTTTTTTGTTTGTTTGTTTGTTTTTTTGTCTACAGGTAGACTTCAGCTTCACTCCAGCCTACACCTGTTGGAGGGACGCAGTCACGATGCCCCCTCGTGGTTTCAAAACAAATTGCGCCCTCCCCCCATTACACGCGCTCGGAAGAAGAAAAGGCTAAACCGCTACATTGACGCATTTTTATATATGTGTGAATAAAACCACCAAACTAAAGACTGGGAGCGCATTTAACGGGCCGCCTGCGGTTGTGTAAAGACCGTGATGGCATCTTTAAGGTGGCTGGTTGTAGGCTGTATCATCCCACGCAATTTCCCCTCTCTATGCAGGCACTGTGCGTGTATATCAGCCATTATAAGTCTGTGTTTTTCATTTGATGTAATGGGCTTAATAGTATGGGGGGGAAATCAGGCTGCATAGCCAATGCGGGATTTCGAAGAACAAAATTTGGGTGTTTTCTCTTGTAAAAACTGTCATCGAGAGGCTGAATGAATAAAGTCAAGTTTTTAAAAAAACAGACAACAAAACTAGAAACCAAGCATCGTTAATTAGCATTAAAAAGGTGTTGTCGACTCACCAACTCCGATTTTCTCCTCTTCAGTAGGTATCCACATATTTGGTTATTTTCCCTTCGGTAGAGCAAGCCACATTATGTCGATATCGTGAGATGATGCTGCTAAAAATGAGAGCTCAAGGCTACAAATTATCCTGGTTGCTGATACATGGGACTACATGTCTCGACCGGAATCAGAATCCTGACGTTCGTGTGTAGAAGGGGGGAGGAAGGACCATCAAAGCCTCGATGTCTCAGCTCTATTATGTCCCGGCGTGTGTCTCTAGCCTGATGCAGTCTCTGTGTCCACCTAATGTAACGCACACACGCATATACGCACGCGCACGCGGTGAGCGGTTTTTTGTTCTCCACAAAAGAAATTTTTTTCTCTTTTTTTTTTTTATTGCAGACGCATTTCAGCTGGAACTGAGAGATTCGTTTTCCTCGAAGCTTATTTATTTATTTTCTTTGTGCTTCTCTTCTTTCCTCGGATTTCATCCGCTCAAGTCTGTCTCGTCCACAGAGAGCTACCCAGCGTGAACGCGCGGGATCGCTCGATAATTAGTAGGTAATAGGTCGCGATATTTGATCACCGGTCCAAACTGCCGAGTTGGTGCAAGAAAATACTGAGAAAACTGCAATATACCCAAAGCTGCGCCATCTTCGCGGTCGTCACATGACTTGTTTTGTCAACACTGATGTGTCAAGCATTTGCAAATATATGCACGATCTCTCTCTCTCTCTCTCTCTGTATGGTACTTTCATCCATCAAAAACACAAACTGCATTTTCTCCTGCTAGGACGCTCATGCTGACTGGCTGGCAGTCTGCCTCTCTTTGTGTGTGTATGTGTGTGTGTGAATGTTTTATTTTAGTGGAGCTGTTGGGCATAAAGAAAAGCTCCCAGTGATGCACATCAGGCCTGACCGTGTGGGGAAGTACCTCCTGGTTGAGTCATTTCAAAGAAACGGACCCACTACCCGCGATGCTTTGTCATAGTGCAGTCATGCTCCCACAAAGGAGAGATGGAACTTTGATCCTTTGAATTTGACTGATGGGTTTGGCAAGCTGGGTTTCCCAAATGACCTGCATCCCAACACCTCTGTCTGGTTTATGGATGGCTTTCACGGTCTGATATTTGACTTTCCATTATTTATTCACAAGCGTGGATTATAAAATCAAAGATTACTGGACATTAGTAGAGACTTAATTTTGGACATAGACTTAAGACTGCTGCACTCGAGAGCAGTTTGTGTTTTTCTTCTTTTTCCAGTCCACACATTGTTGAAATAAATTCCCAGGACTGAATATTAGCAGTTTAAGTGTTCAGTTACATTTTCATTTTCACACCTGGATGTTCAAATTATGTTTCAAAGCTTCCAGGCTGCTGGGAAAAAACTAGTGATCCAGTTCAATTCAGTTCAGTTTTATTTATATAGCACCAAATCACAACAATGGTCGCCTCAAAGTAAAGACCCTACAATAATACAGAGAAAAAGACAACAATCAAATGTTCCAAGTGCAAGCATGTGCTTTGGTGACAGTGGGAATGAAAAACTCCCTTTTAACAGGAAGAAGCCTTTGGCAGAACAAGACTTACAGAGGACCAGCCATCTGTAGTCATTAACGATATATTTGCCCATTAATATCCTCAAGGCTTAAAAAACCCTCACATTTAAATAAGTCAAAGCATGTACGTGTGCAAATAATATAAAATACCCAGGCCACACAGTAATTTTCCTTCAGGTTGCCAAAACCATAGCTCTTTAACAAATGAATGTGATCAACACTCAGCCGTGTAGATTTAAACAGCTTTTAGAGCAAACAGCTCGACTGTAAGCCCATTAATTTGGATTTTAGGGACATGTATATGATGCAGTGAATTTAGCTGAAACACTGGGTGTCACAGTATGACTCACTGCTTTTAAAATGCTGTGTGGGGTAATGAGTAACTCTATGAACATCAGTTTTCTGTGAAACTTCAAGGCCGTGGAGTTTGTTCATGAGGTATAAAAATCCCTGCAACCTAATGCCAGTAAATGCATTCATCCTAGAACTCCATCAATGCTTTTTCTCAAAATATTTGCTTTTCATCCACCGAGCAGACCGACATTGATTGAAATGTTCTCATATATGCAGGAAAATAATACACAACCAGAGAACTGATGTTTGAAATCAGATGAATGTGCAGCGGCGACTCATAAAATTTGTCATACAGTATCTCAGCCACTGCTCAAATCACATGTGGTCATTTCAGTGCATTAAGCTGTCTTGTCCTATAGACAAGGCAGTCATGACTAGAAAAATAGAGTGATTTGGTGAATATTGAGCGTCCAGTGAGTTTGATGTAGTGTGGGAGGGAGGGCAGCATTCAGCAGGGTAATTTCTCTCCATCATAGCGATGCTGTGACTGACTCCCATCTGTCTATTACTTCAAGTGGAACACTGTGGGCGGTGTTCCAATCACATACATAAAGCTGCAGGAGTGCGGGGCATTTTGTAAGCCAAATATGCATCCCAGCTAATAAACATTTAAGGAAATAAACTCAGCAAAAAACATGTTCAACGGACACTAATTCATGCAAATGGTTAAAAAAAAAGGACGTTTTATGTAATGCTAGATCTGAGAAATGGCTTAAACACCGTGTTTTACTCTTTCATTTAGGCATTAATATGTAGCTCCTTCAGATGCAGCAGCACTGCGAGGACGAGCCACGGGTCCACTGCAAACGTGGACTGACTGATACGGTGAGAGCTGCTATCTGTTTCAGCACTCCCAAAACCAGCAGACAATAAGAGGCAGCAGAGGAGGTAATAAGAAGCATGTGCTACCATCTCATCCATCATCTGCTTTCACAGCAACACACACATGCACGCACATTTGTATGTCTTTACACTCCTCACAATCATGCACTTTATGCTCCCCGGTACAACTAATCTGCCTTGGAAGCACATGGAAACGCATGTGCCTGTGCAGGCGCACACACATTTTAGGATACTTATTTGATCCATTGTAATGTGTTTCTGGTGACTATTTTAATGTGTTCTATTATTAGCTGTGGGGGAGGCCACAGGAAAACGTTTAGTGGCAAATTTCTGAATGCACACCAGTGAAGAGCTCTGAGGAAAGTCACCTAATCGAGAAACACTACGAGGGATATCACATAAATAAAGATGTGATTATTCATATGGATCTAATGTACAGCATAGCCATAAATGGATCTGGTGTAGTTTTTTTCCCATCCCACATTAAAACCCAAATCACAATAACTTTGAAGTGGATCTGCAATGGCTTTCCTTATTTCGTGTCATGTACAGTATATACTGCATCACAGCCGGTGTGAGAAGGAATGAGAGGGATAAAGACAAGTCAGGAAAAACAAATGTACTAAGAAAAAAGATCAGTAAATTAAATAAGCAAGTTAGTGTAACATATGTATAAATGAGAGGCAGTGAAAAGAAAAAAGAGCCCTAAGATCGTGGTGCAGCTGAGCTGGTCAGAGTCAGAGTGTGACTGCGGGGAGGAGGGAACTTCTACAGCCAAACTCACTGGGCCCAGGTGTAGCTCATAAGGCTAATTACCCTCCCATTGGCTCATGCAAGACAAAGCACAGCACAATACAGAACAGACAGACTCAGTACTGTGATCACCTAGGGGTCGTCCAACTGTTCTAAAAGTTGATGCTCATATTAAACTTGGCCAAAGTTTTTAATATTGAGGTCAGCATATGTGAAAATAAACTCACGCTTCAGACTGCCTTAAACGCTGAGTTTTTCGGTTTCTTTTCTACTCTTGGTCTATATGAAGTCAGAGTGGCTGTTCCTAACATGGTAACCTGAGGCGCAAATATTTGGTGGTGAGCACAGTAGGCTGAACCGCTTATTCTTCAAACCTTTTGTTTGTGAAGAGCAACCAATTAGAAAGGAGCTGGCTTTAAAGAAGTGGAGATAAACTTCTCTAGTAAAGTATAGAGCTGGAAATGGAAATCGGTATAATAGATATGTCCAGTTTAACTTTAATGTGGAAGTATTTAATCATTAAATTGTTCTTGTAATCTTTATATGATCTTCTCATTGAGAGCAAGACCTATTCTGCAAAAGAACAGAGTTCAACAGAGGAACCTGAAATAAAATGGCAACATTAGGTCAGTCATAGATGTAAACAAGCCCAAAAACAATTCAGGTGGTCATATTCTTCATGTACTTCTTTCATTTGCTAACCTTAGGGGTCTCCACTAGTGATGTGCGATACCACTGATTTCCTTTCCGATCCAGTAATACTCAGGATATTCATGTATCGCAAACCACGTCTCGGCTGTTTGTGGATGTAAAACACATCCGCACATAACTCCATTTACGATCAGCCATTGTTGTGAGTGTGCACGCCAAGGGGCTGCGACACATTTATACAGCCATATTTCGCACATGACTATGAAAGGTGGAAGAGGAAGTAGTTCCTTCCAATTGTAGACAATCTGAAGGATATAGGTTATTTCCACTGTGTTCCTGTTAATGATAAACTACAAATTTACCCTAAATTACTAAAATATCGATATTTTAATGCGAGAATCGATTCTAGAACATAAATGACTGGTATCGGAGAAATCGATATTTCAGTATCGATCCGCACATCACTAGTCTCCACGGCAATCTCACTCCATCTTTAGCATCCCCTTCCATCACACCAACCCTATAGAAAGAATTACACTGATCTAATGTCTAAATTCATTCTGTTTACACAATGCAAAGTAATTGTCAGAGTATTTACTCATGTGGTATTAAGAAGTAACAATTCTACAATAGTAGTAGCATGTAGTGCCTTTGTTGCTATTAGGCACAGCACAGGATATATCCATAATATAGTACACATGATTAATGGCACAGTGGTTTTCTCATCTTGAAACACCTTTTTTAAATCTTGAAATTGCAAGCCAGTTGCTTCACAGTAAAAGTATAAAAAGTAAAAACTCTTCTTAAAAGATTTGCTCAAAGTTTTCCTTTGTTGGCTCCTTGTTTGAAGAACAATTAAATTTCTACCTTACTGTAAAAGTTCACAGTGTTTAAGATGCCTTTGCTATGCCGGACAGCCATTATCCAAGACAGGGATGTCAAAGTCATTTTACATCGTGGGCCACATACAGCCCACTTCAATCTTATGTGGCCCAGATCAGTGAAACTCCCATTTTTCTCAGTGTGCAGAAATGTAACTACACACTTAATCAATGAGATACTTTAATATATTAAAAAAAAAAGCACAATTTCAATAACAAATCTGTTTTTCTACATGATAAAGAAATGCTGTAAATTAGAGAAATCTATTAGCACGACTCATTGGGCTTAAACTGTAAGAAGTCAATTTGTAAAATGACAGGACTATCATTTAATTACATTGGTTTAGTATGAATGGCCATTGGGCAGCAAAAGCTATAACACTGAAAATACAATTAAAAGTCCGGAATTTATGTCCTCCTTTCCAAAGTCGTCCAACGAGCCAATTGGGGTCTTCGGCGGGCCAATTCTGTCCCCAGGCTTTATGTTTGATGCCTCTGATCTAAGAAAAATCTTTATTTTATTAAAGATATAATTTTTTTCCCCTCATTTCTTTCTTTATTTCTAGTAAAATACTTTAGATACATACAAGTTGTACATAAACTGTCAAGAAACTCAACGTACAAGTTTCCTTTTGGAAACGAAAACAGGTAAAAATTAATAATTACAAGGCAAAAAACAAAAATCATGAAATGTCTGCACTGCACTGAAAGTGTGCATGTGCTTGGCATCAGTTTTCACAAGGCTGACAGTCAT